TATATATATATATATATATAAACATGTCAAGGTAACATGGATCAATCTTCAAACAAAAAGATTCAAAAGGTCGAGAGTAATTACATTTGTCTGAAAGCTTGTAGGAATGAAAAACAATCAGGCACATTCGAAAGAATGAAATGTCTCCTGGCAAATGTATTATTTTTTCTTCTTCTAAAATTGATAAAAAGTAGTATAGATATATTTGACATTTAACTTAATGAATGAAAATGAAATAATTTCGTTTTAAATGTCACATGGGTAAATGTGTTAAAAGGTACGTTAAGTCATTTAGTAATGGTACGACCTGTTCTTGAGAGCAATGCGGTCTAGACTAATTTTGATTGGACTGTAGCGTAAGCTTATTTGTTTTCACGTTGGTAGGAATACATTTTAGGATGTACATCTCTGAGAAGTCAAAAATTTCCTGTATTAAACTTTTTTTCTTATATGGAATTTTGGAAAAAGGAGTTAATGGCATAGTAGAAAATGCAAAAAAATAATATTTGTCGGTGTGTTCGTTTTTGTGCTATGATCGGTCAAAGATACGAATTTAACACAACACGTGATTTTAGGTGATTTTTGGGGTTTTGATCATTTGCAGAACAAATTCATACAATTTCTTCTAAGTGTGTTATCAGATATGTATGAATGTTTGTAGAATTGATAAAAATATTATTTTCTTTCAAATTGTGGAAGGAAAATTTCTTAATCTTAATCTTAACTCAGAAAGCCGATTTTAGTTACCCCTATCCCCTATTTTTTAATGAAAAAATACTCATTTTTTACCATTTGTTTTGCATATTAAACGCTTGATATAAAAAGTTCTGGTATTAAACTTTTTTTAATATTTAATGAATTAAATGAAAATGTGTTTCTCTTTCTAAAACATCTACAAAAATGGGGGTTCAGTGTGCTTCTTTTTTGTCCCATTATCGTTTGTGTTATTATTTTTTTTTTTTATCTTTTTCGGAGTCAAAAATCAAAAGTGCTTCAGTTAACTAAATACGTAAAAAAAATATCAATTATGTATAATTTTCCAGTTTGTTGCATATTATTTTTATCATATTGAACATTATAAAGTTGTACAACAAAATTGAACCTGCTACAATTAAAAATGGCGACACAATGACAATTTAAGTGATCAATCTAGTGTCAAAAAAGGTGAAATTTTGGCCTTTTTTGAAGCGCAAGAAATACACATTAATACACATTTTCAAAATGGCCGCCAAATTGGTATTTCTTTTAAGTTCTTGTAAAATAAGTTCTACAAACAACAGGCATCTAGTTTTTTGACATATTTTTCAGATGCGTGTTTGCTATTAAACTTGATCATAATTTGTTAAATATTTCAAAAACCCATTACACCAGATCAAAACGAGACTTGAACGTGATTGAAACCTCAGAAGAGTACATCCTTAACTTTTTTAAGGCCATATATGTGCGATTTGTTAGCAATCTCTGTTAAAGCAAAGGTTAGCAAAACAGGCCTATTATTTTGTCATATTTTCCATAATATACGGACACAGTCCAGGTGCGGCAGTTATACGTATGATGCAAACATTTGTAATCAATATGATGAGATTACAAGATGTCGTCGAGTATATGATAAGGAGCATAAATAAATGATGTATGGTCCACTAATAACTTATCTTTTAATCAGCAATGGTGTTATCAAAGCCTTTGCAACAATTTACAAGCAAATTATGTTTTAGCAACGCTCATCGTTTAATTAGACACCGAAAAAATACCCTTGTCTAAAATGTCATCAGATTGTGTTACATTGGATATTGAATGTCAATGATTATATATAAACTATATTGTAAAACATATTCCCAAGCTAAATAATTTCATATACAATTCTGTTTTATCTTTTATTTCCTCCTTCCATGCGTAGCTTTGTGGGTGGTTTTTTCAAGCTAAACTTAATGAACGTTATCACTAGTGCTTTGTATGTTTCAGAATCTGTAATATGCTCACAGTATTACCAAACATAAGGTGGCGTTTTATTTTCATTCGTTTTCTTGTCAAGTAAGATCCGTATGCCTTAACAACCAGGCCTAAACTACATTGACAATCGATCACAAGGATGGATAGAAAACATTCTGAATTTAATCGTAGTCTTTAATGCTGACATGTGCTTCAACTAAAATGCGATTAACTTGTCCAGGTAATATTTTATCTGGACTACGTTCATCGCTAAACATTATCGTAAGGTCATCTAAATTATTTACATATATTTAATCAAAACTTTATTTGTTTTACTCTTTTCTCAATAATTCGTTAAGCTCATAATCGTAAAAAAATGCATTCCATCAAAGAGTTGTTTCATGAAAAAGCAAATAGTGTATTTGATATTTGTTGTATTTAATTTTGCTCCACACATTGTTTCAGAAGAACAGTTTTTAAAACGAAAGTCATAAAAAAAACAGTATTTATAAGTCAGATTTTTTTAGCATCAATATAGAAGTGAAAATCCTTCCAAGAGAATGCGCGTGCCCTCTAATAAATAGCAAAAGTCGATAGAGAGGATATCTTAGTGATATTTTCTTTGTGGGTACTGATTACCTGTGGGATTTTACTGTTTAGTCATGCCCTATGTATTATTTATTATGGTAGCTTGCGTCTGTAATCCAGTACTCAATTATCTTCTCCTTTAAGCCGACTTGTTGTATGCAAAATGCCGATCGATGAACCACAGAAACTAATTATCAAAACGGATAAAGCTCACACGTGCAGTTTCAGAAGTCGTACCCAAATCGTCGGGTCACTACCTCACGTCAGGAAATGTTGGTAAAATTCACATGAGTCTTGGAAATGTGTTGAACTTAACTTATTTATAAATTTAAGAGATGTAGTTTAACGAGAAGTTTTCCTCGCTGCAATAACCTTTCTGAAGTATCATGTTCCTAGTCCGTATATTTCGTAATCATTAGAGTAAGAATCAATCAACAAACCAAGTTTTTATTAACGTGTCAGGTATCACAAACACTTTGTATACAAAAATATTCTTATACACTATTTAAATTGTGCAATTGATATGTCATTTCATATCTAAAACTGCTATCACACCGGATTCGACTTACGAGACAGTTCAAAGTTGACGAGTTAAATCATCAACAAATAATTGAGGTTTTCATCTTGGTTTTGTCATGAAATAAGTAGATAAGGGAGAGGGGAGATAAAGAAAGGAGTATATACGACCTCATCACATAAAAAATCACCTCAAAGTCGAAATGAAAAGACATTGACAAGAGACAAAAAAAAAAAAGAAATACCTGAATCCAATAAAAGCCGGAGACGAAACCGGTGATCCGGAAGGGTACGGGTTTTCTGCAGCAGTACATCCAGTGTCGAATTTTTAATAATAGCAGACATTGAAATTCCATCAATTTAAATCAATACATAACGTAATACAAACTTAACTTAAGAAAATACTTAATTGATTTAACATTGATATCATGTGTCTCCTTTTCAAAGAAGCCTTCATCCTGAATCCATATTTCTTCCACTGAATAGCTTTGCTTAAAATGTATGGTACGAAACAAGTTTTTGTCGATTTTGCATATTTATTTTATAGATTAAAATAAAGAGCTCTGTTGAAGGCTGCAACGTTCGTGTAATTTACTGCATTGCTTTGCAATGTGTATTGACGTTTAACAGATAAAGAAGTGTCACCAGACAGATAACCTTCAATACGAATATAATTATATTTGCTTCATTTCTTCGATGTTTGAAATCTCATACGATATTCAAAATATTATTCGCTCAATTTTCTTATAGTTATGTCATATTCCGATTAAACAGATACCTATTACCCTTCCGGAACACCTGGTCTTATTCCAATTGTGAATTTGCAGGACTCTGCATGTGCATTATTTTTTTCTGTTCATAATCTGCTTTAGTTTCTTTATTTTGAGTTCGAAGTACGTTTTTATTCTCTCTTCGGTATTTTCTTGGTATTTGCTTTAATGCTTGAATATGTTTTCATTCACAAACGAATTCTGTTTCCTTGTATGATGTAAATATCGGGCAATAATTCAAGAGCATAACGTATGAGCCATATCTGTACCGGTTTATAAAGATAAGCGTATCAAAGAAAGATGCATCTTGTTATAAAATTAGTTTTGGGGATTATTTCGATTTCATTTGATTCTTAAAATAAATAATAAATGAGTAAACAACGAGCTTCATTTTCAGCTAGGATATGTAGTAGTTTGTGGATCTGCAACCTATTGACGTTGTATTATATACATATTCATCTGTGCTATTTGTTAAGGGTTAAACATGTCCTCGTAACAGTTAATGTCGTCTGAAATGTGTGTCAAAACACGGTGGGGGCAACTTTAAAGTGCCATTTTACTGAAGTATCGTAATCTGGGCACAGAAGCATGACACTTCACATGGTTCCATTATTCCGACATTTGGATTCACCGAAAACAATGGTAGTTAATAGAAGAAAGATAATGGCCCCAAGTGTTGCAACGAGGGCAGCCTATTGTCTGTTTTTGTCTCCTAGTAGAGGACATAAGGGTAGCATCCAATTCTACAAGAATGTGATATGTGTCCGTTCAAATAAAATTCATCATGTTAACTATTTTAGAACCCTCGAACCCAAACGTGACAAGTGTTTCTGTTATGAAACACTGTATCACCTACTCTGTAAGTGTAGTTATATATTGATTATTCAAAAACATAATTAACTTAAAGTGCTCTGTCGCTATTAGGACATTCCTGGTTAGTCCTATACAGCGTTAACTTGTTGACTCTACGATTATATCATATAGAAATAGCTATTGGTTTCGTGAGGATATTGTTTTATTTTTCATCTAACAACCATTGTGACATATTCGATCAGGTTTTCAATTCAGAGCAATATCAATACCATGTATTACATCGATGTGTGCCTGCCTAAGCTACACTGTCCGATGGCAAGGCCTCCTAGCCACAGCGGTGTTGTCTACCTGTAACAGAGCCCCAGAAGTAGGCACGGGAAACCCAAGATGATATTTATGGAGCGAACTTTGATCAGGGTAAGATACTTTTATGATAATGTAATATTTTCACATGTCTATTGTTTTTGTTATAACTGTGGAAGCATTATCCTGACTGCTTAAGTACATGTTTATTTTAACATTAATTGCACCTATATATAGGAATAAATACAGGATTCATGCAATATATAGGAATATAAAGATAAGCTATTCCAGGATATATAACAAAATCATATTGTCAGCCTTTGGCGAGCTCAAAATAAAGAAAAAATATTATTGACGAATTTGATAAATCTCATATAAAATGGAAAGAAATCTAAGATCCCGTTTAGCATATGATCAAAGTTGTTAGCGAATTAATGCAGAAAGACATTACCTGGTCAATACGGAAGTCCACATTACCGTCATATTGGGTCTACGTCATTTCATTAGCATTCCATACATAAGGTTATACGCAAATAAATATCATTTTGATATATTAAATCAGTAACTCAGTATTCATGTGATAACTAGAAATAAAGGTTACTCTAAAATATTGCATGAATACCGCTTTGATTTTGCGAGAGCAATTGTCGTTTGTTTAGTTCGAGAACTTATTTGCTGACTCAAAATTCTGAGCAACACCATTGCTAGCCAATAATCTTAAATTTCTTTCAACCGAACGTGCAGTTTATTATTGCAGTTCGTGCAACTTATATAGCGAAAATGAATCATTTGACTCATACTACTGTTATACAGAATACTGACTTTCCATATATTTGCTTTCGATATTACAACATTATCGATATTGCACTCTCACCAACCTTTCATTAACATTTTTCGTTTATGAAATATTATATCCAGGTGAGTTTCCACTCTCACAGCCTTTGTAGCCGACCTTATATCATCATTCCTAGTTGTCTCCTGCTGATACGTATCAGTGTGTCAGCATACTGTTGGTCGTTTTTGAGTTGCCATAACTACCAATTCCCTGCTTCTGAATAACTCTGTCCATGCACTCCAAAATAATTTCTCAGAGGAGATGATATCAAGTACTTTCGATTTAGAAATATAGACACTGGTATGTCTGTCTTCTTTCAATGCACCACATGTGTTACTAGTAAAGAAGTACATGGTTTATTTTTGCCATCTTGGAATTAATTCTGACGTCTGTAATGTTGACAAGGTCAGACTTATATTCAGACTGATCAAGACATTAGGAAAGTAATATCTTAACCATCGTGATCTCATACAGATAAGTATGCTCGTTATTTTGCCTTCATCTGACATTACTAGGATCTGACCTGTATTTACATGGCATGTATCATCGAATAAGCAAAGGACGCTTATCCTTCCTCAACACCTGGTCTTATTTTTCTTGAAATTTTTCAAAAGTCTCCGTGTTAATCTTTCTTTTTTTGTTCATCATGTTGTTATTCGTTTGCTATAGATATTGTTTCGTCAACTTCACGGAGGTCTGCAATCGTTTGACACTGTCATTACTGTATTTGACCAAAACCAAAACCCACCTTTCACCGCAGCAACATTACATTCAAGTTAGCCTCATTTAATAAAATTGCACTGCCAATGTCTGTTAAGAAACTGTACGTACATGAATATGTTTTCAATACATATCTGGAGGTCGTAAAAAGTACTAGTCGAACATTCCCCATTTTGTAAACAATATAAAGTAGTTGACAAAGGTTAAAATAAAGAGGTCAAAAAGGTAACATATGCTATACATTTTAGATCATAGTATTATATTTATTCATCTTCGGAAGTATAATTGATATCCATACCAATTAAAGCTTGCAATATCACGTGCTTTTGTATGTGTTAACAAGACGTCTGAATTGCTTTTAGAAATAAAAAAAATGTAGAAGCACATGAGTTTTGAAATACATTTAAGATGAGAATGCTTTGTTTACATTAATATCTTTTCAAGGAATTTTCAAGTTGGGGGATCTCTACTGTGAAATAGCACGAGAGAACCGATATCGCTTATCTCCAGTGTATTAGCCTGTTTATAGGACATGCATCTAGGGAATGGGGGAAACATGTTGTAAATCGGATGAGGGCTTTTGTTACGGTCGTTCCATATCGATGCACACGTGATTAAAAACAATACTTTATAATAGGAATAAGAGTGATAGGTCCTGCTTGGCGTGTTAACTATGAATGGTTTAGTGAATATCTGATAACAAGTTAATATTCTGTTAAATATAAGTGGCGATAACGCTATTTTTATAATAAACTGTACAGACCATTGTGTGTATTAGGTTTTGGTATTGCAGGATCGAAATTGATGTCCCGTAAGTTCCTCTGAATCCGTTGCTATGTGATAACGCTCGTCAATAATGCGTTGCTCTATCTGTTATCGTCATAATATAGGGATTACAAATCCTTTTTTGTTCGAAAGTCATATAAAAATGATTTTCGATCGTCGTTGTTGATGAAACTGAAGCACCAGTCGTCTTCAGGAGTTAATCTCTAATTAATTAATGTTTGTTAGCAAGATATATTCGCATATAGGATATCTAGCATGGATGCTTTCATAGAAATTAATTATTTTTTCCCGATTTAAAAAAAAACTAGAATCATTACCTTCTGTACTTCTAATACGAACTCCAATCTATAAGACACAATATTGGAAATATTTCCAAATAGTAGTTGTAATGAATCTCTGCATTTGTCATGAGAGATCCTTTCACTGATTTTTATCAGCTAACTGAATTCCAATCAAATATAAGCAAGTACGAAATCCAAACAAAGAAGGATAGTATCAAGGGAATTCTATTAAATTAAGTCGTACTTATGTAGGGCAAAGAGGTGATCAAGGTTACTTTGACTATATCTAGCGCAAGTTTTTCTACAGGTTTCTGTTGTTACTGTCCAGAGCTGAAGTTTCTCCAGGTTACATACATATGTAAGTTTATAAGAGGCACGATAGTCTAGTGGCACGGCGCTGTGTTGTATCTTTGAGCAAGATACTTTACTCCGCTTGTTCCAGACTACTCAGCTGTAAATGAGTACATGGTTGGGCAGTGCTAGAATTGTTGAGTGCTAGTGGTGAGCGCCAAAATGGCAGCACCGGCTGTATACTCCCCAGGGAGTTGACAAAATATTGACTGGTGACAATGGATAATAATTTGTGAACCGCTTTGGGACGACCTACCAACTAGGTTGTGATAATGCGGTATATAAGAACCTCGAATTGTTATTTATTATAAGTAGAGAAACCAAATGTCTGATGTCACACCACACTAGTATGAGGCTATTACATGCGATTTCATATTTGTCTAGTATCGCGATCCTACAGATTAGATTGCTATTTGTATTTGTGTATGGCCGGACAACAGTATTTCAGTAAGTACCACAAGCAACGACTTCCTACTACTGGTAAACGATGAAATCAATTAACCGAAAATTGCAAAACACTCAATGGAAGTAATTGGAAGTTCACATGTTAATAACTAAGTGCAAAACATGTAAATGGTTTTAGTGATATAACGAAAATAAAAGAGGCACAATAGCGTATCAAATGCAAAATCAATATGAATAATTTATGCCCATGCTTCAGACATCCCGACAGATATGTCCATATTTTTGGACGATGGTTGATTGGTTGGACTTCAAACTTGCTATAGTTAAAGAACTTGTTCAAAAAGATCGTTTTAGAAATGGAGCCTAAACAATCAGAACACATTTACATGACAACCTTGGCAGCGTTCTTATTATTGATGGTCAATAAAGTAGACGGATGTTAACGGAAACATATTGACAGGAACATTTTACATTTTACGTACTAAGGTTCGCATATAAATTTATTTCATACACCATCTAACATCAATGACATATTATCTTGATTGATATGTACTGGGCGTTATGGCCTGCACAACACCCATATTTTTGTGTAATGTTAATGTCAGCATTGTTGTGTTATCATGTTCAGCACATATCATATATAAATAACATGAAAATAAAAGCAATTTCTTGAAAAATTGATAAGAATACGATGATTCCGAGATATGGATGGTACTTTCTAATCCGATTATGGTACTTTATATTTCGTTGATAAGATATTCGATAACCTATTACTCTTATAGGATTAGAAAACGCATAAATTACATGTGATTCTAAGAAATTGATTATATCATCGATTTTCATATTTTCCTCTAGCTGTTATCAAGTGTAAGTCTAGTGGAAAACTACCAGATATAACTGCTGCAGTTAATTTTTGAAAGGAAAAAAATGAGTAAATAATTTATTTAAACACAATTTCACGTGGTTACGTAATTTGTTAATTTGTTTTGAAAACACTCAAATGGCATAAAGGATGTATGAATTGACTGCAAAATAATACACATCACTGAAACAAATACATGTCGATGATCTACCTTTGTTAGTTAAAGGCACCAAGGTCTAGAATAATTTGTCTATCCAGTATATTAAATGTCATGTGCTCGTCGTCTGGGAATTCCTAGGATCAGACACAGTGCTGTATAATGGATTAGATTGGCGATATGTTACATATGCACTCGAGCAGAAAAGTGAATTTCCTGAACAGTTAATGACCGTTTGGAACAGTAACTGCACTGTGCCGATAACAGGCTTTGAATGAAAATAACATAACGAGGGTTATCTAGTTGTAGTTAAAAGCATTTCTCTTGAAGTTTTGACAAAGTTTCTTTATGTATAAATTATATAAATAACCTAACCCAGCTTCATTTCTAATCCTTCTTCTGCAGCATCAGTGTTGATATAAATCGAAGCATGCATGTCCAGTACAAGCTTGTTATGCAAGTTAGATAAAAAAAAAACCAAAAACATCTCCTAATAACCGTAGCATTTTTAATTTAAACAACTGACCTACTCTTGAAAAGATTATTCCTCTAATGGCAGCAGCAATCAAACCTGGTTTAGTTCAGTCTCAGAAATAAAATTTAGCGGTTTAAGTGAATGGTATATGTTACAGAATACAGATAGTTCTACTAGTGAAATTCCATAGGCAATAACATCAGGTACATGCAATGTGCAAAAGTGAATAAAAAGAAAGAAAAAATGCCGACTGACGTGTTCAACCAATCTCACGACTGAATGGTATAGCTTATATAAACCTGATGGATATTGGATACTGGAATATGTTTAATTAGTCAAAGGGCATTTGATTATTGCCGGGTATCGTTTAGAGTACCTCATCACATTAATTTTACAAGGTATAGAAGGTGATGCTGTAAAACGCAGTCCAATGCAAACAATCATGTGAAATGAACCATTAACACACTCGATACCTGCTTTTATCGTCAGTGAAATGACTAGGCCAGGGTCCGTATTTATATCACTTGACTGTATGCCTGTTAAACAGGAATTATGTTACGTTGAGCAAAGGTTTTCAAACACTGCAATGCTTTTTACCTCGTCATAGCTCGGTTGTGTCCATTTCCACACCATTTCATCGTCACTAAGGGTGATAAGTAACGAACAAGCATTAAACGGCTATATTGATTCTTGGAAAATTATGTGACATTGAACATAACAAACAAAGTTAACCAACGACAAATACGATTGACAGCATAGAATAAATTAATAACAAATTGAGGACGATAACATGTCCTTACACAACAACGTGTCTGAATGAAAAACTACAAAAATACATTCATAGTCAATATGTTGACACTATTGGAACAAAATATTGACTAAAATACCACAGTACTTGAAGTAAAGAGACACTAAAACAAATAGAGTGCATCATAACTTCTTTGAAAGGAAGTAAACCCAGGTGATGCTGAAGGGTAAGCGTTTTGACACTCGTCGTTTAATAGTTACACAACAAATCCTGGTCAGTATGTAGACTAACAACTAACTGAGACCAGAAAATGTCTAACTATCTTAACACTATAATGTAGACGAACAACAATATATGAACTAGGTCGGTAGAAAACCTTGGTTAAGCACTAAATGATCAACATCACGTATTTAAATTCAGCAGATTTTGATATACAGAAATTTCCCCTATTTTAGCCAGTCAGCTGTGTCATTTGACCGTAATAAGCTGAGAGAAAAGGGCTGTAATGTACTTGTTAGGGAAAATAAAAATAATAATCATGATATAAAAACCATTAAGTGGTACTATTAATTTCAAGCTGTGAAGGATGGAGGAGATGTAAGTAGTTCTTTAAATATATTTTTTTTCAAAAAAAAAACCATCAAAAAAAATTCTACCTAAAAGCAGCTTAATATACGTTGGAGAAATTTCACGTCGCCGACTATGTATTTTACTATCTATCTTGATCAAAGACTCCGATCCGTTTCTAGATACAATGGCGGTTGCCATTTGCGATTATGATTTGTTTTACTTGAAGACATGATGTCTTTTCGGTTTCTGTTATTATCTAAGTGTTTTGTAATGGCTTGGAGTTCTAATTCTATCGTTGTGTGTCGCAAAGAACAGTGATCTACTTTTCTTTATGTTTAGTGATTATGTTTAAATCGGAAAAGTTTCTGGATAAAACAATAATTCTCAAGTAACGGTAATTTCATGTGGGATAATCACGACTACAAATAACACGTCATTATTTGTTTGAAACAGAAAAATATGAAGTTCTCTTGTAGGCAAAAATAACATAAATAAATCAAATGTCGACCTCAGTTGTCTGCAAAACGCATCTCTTCAAACCCGGGAACTTATTGAAGTTGTACTGTAATGCACTTTTTAAACTCAATGCCAATGGATTAACAAGAACACTTTATTCCGTCTTTGCGTATTGCAGAGTTATCTTCTCTTGGGAGCAGGTAACTCTGCAATATGCAAAGACGGAATATTATATAACAGAGTTCTATTGGCTACACATCTTGAAAAGAAAACGCTATGCAAACCTTTTTATTTTTTTAATCATCAGACGAGGACTCGATAAATCGATACAGCTTTTTCTGTACCTATATCCAGATTATACCATAACTGGTTCCATTTCAATTGACATTTTTAACAAATCGCATGGATTAGATATTTTAAAAGTCTATTGTATTAAGGTTGGCAAGGTCCTTGTAATCGCACTAGTGATAAACATTGTAGTACATAATTATGTCCCCAGGACTAATAATATCTTGTCTTTCTAATGTTTAAATGACGTAAATGTTAAACCGTTTCATGATGTTTGAAAGGTACATCGCTTTATAAAAAAACCCAGAGAGGACCGAAGTGTTAACAAACCATAACTACAACTCAAAATCGATAAAACTAGGGCAGAATATGAACAAAGAAAAACAGGAGACTGTTGAAAAAATACAAGGCAGGTAAGGCCATGTGTTCCGGAAGGGAAAGCGTCTTCCATGCTTCATTGACGACATCCACCATGTAAATCGAGGAAACATAATGTTCAACTATTTACGAATGACGATAATAAAATAGCGAAAATGTTTCACGTTATCTGTCCTGTCCTATTGAGAAGACGCGTCGGTCCCTAACGAGGAGTGTACGTATTATATTTAATCTTTTGACAACATTGACAGGTGAGAAATCAGATTAGGATGGGTATGTAAATGAATTCGTATTGTTTGCTGCTGCTTGTAAATAAACTCCTCTTTAAATGATTGGATATTGTCAGTCTGTTACTGTGAGAGTAACTGTGGGTATTGGTTTATTAACGGTTCGCTGTGTTCAATTAACCTAAAACATCCTGTTTTGTCCCCACAGAATACATTTGAATACTTTATGTAATCATTAGTGCTAAGCGCCTACTTCCATAAAGTTGTATAGAGAAAACAAAGAGACAGACAATGATATCATATTCCTAACTAATTGTATGTAGTGAATCTTTAATTCGGTTTCCTCGTATTTAAGTTCCTCTCCGCGTGTGTTATAAAAAGCACTCCGTCCCATACAGACAACAATTATTGTGATTAAAACGAATAGTAAATTACAAGAATGTACATACTAATGTTTCGTTTATATATATATTTAGAAGCTGATCGGTTTGACAGATGGTATGGTTCAATTTGTGACAATTGTAACGAAGTCCACCCACTGACATGAAGCACACTAAATTATCGTTATTTTTACTCCTGACATATCAGTTAAAACTTCTCTTAGATGCTTAAAAAAATATATGAATTATTAGTGTTTTCATCGTGTAGACAATTTTTATATTACAAACTATACGTGATTCGTCATAGGGCAGAAATAAGGTTTTGCATTGTAGTATCAATTACCTGCAAGCGATGATTTGTTTCTTTTTCCCATGTTTCCGGGGATTATTGTGACACTTTATTTAGCTACGTATAAGTGAAACTGTTTCTCAATATTTTATTCATATTAATGTTGCTTTAATTACAGATATCAATAGTATTCTTTGTGACCAATATGTCGGCTGAAGGGCGGTATTTTTATGATGTAAGTATATATTCCTAATATTTTATTGATTAATAGAACGGCATTCTCAAATTTGCGCCCGAGTTTTACTAATCTTCAATCTTTGGTGGATTTTATATATTTATATTCGGTTCATTATATACTTTCTTATTTGAAGTTTTCACATTTATGTTTTGTTTGTCTGTCTGTCTGTCTTTCTTTTTTTATATGGTTAGCCGCAGACTCGGGGTTGGTTTTAAATAATTAAAACATTTAACATCTCAGGAACAATATTTTGTTACAAAAAAGGGTATTTTGCCCCCCTCATCCCCTTTCGCGCTGATTCGAGTCAACAACACAAGCGATTAATAAATTGATTACTTTATAAATAAATATATATACATGTTGCATTTATAATCATTGTAACACTCACATTAATGAACTTTAACTTAGGTATATCTGGCACACATTTATTTTATCGGCTTGATTTTGATTGTTTACAGGAATGTATCGACCAAATGGGTACCGAGTTCTTGTTTATGTTCTGCGAGCATTACATCAAGGGTTCCATTGTAAAAGTATTCTGCTCCACGCCCCTAAACTCGGAGGTATCCGTCCGCATACAGACCCCGGTATGGGACGCGGGTACCATTGACATCACTGTCACTGTCACACCCGGCTCAGTCACGGAAGTAGATCTACCCAGATCATTACGCATGACCGGAACTGGCAAAGGTAAAACGTCAATACTCGTCACTGCTAGTGATACAATTACGGTGTATGCAGCAGACACACAGGCTAATACTGGGGACACATTTATGGTGTACCCTACTGACGCCCTTGGAAGCGAATACATAGACATTACGTACAATCAGACTAGTACTAGTTATGCGAGTTCCCTCGGTATTGTGGCACTGTATGATCTTACTGTTGTAGAAATCGACCCTCCACCAGGGGGCAGTATATCATACGATGGAACAGATTACACTGCCGGACAAATATTAACTGTGACAATAAATAAATATGAGCTGTTTCAGATCCAGTCACATGACCTTTCGGGGACACATGTAAGGTCGTCTTTTCCGCTATCTGTTATAAGTGCTCACGAGTACATCCGAATGGGCACCTCTAATAGCAAGGATTTCATGCAGACTATGTTGCCTCCCGTCAGTTCACTATCAACCACCTATGTTGTCTTCGGTTTTCCTATGTATTCAAAGCCAGAGATCGTCCGCATTGTAAATTCTAGAGAAAACACGACCATTATCATAACTTTACCATCTGTAAGTGTTTTTCTTGAAAAGATTGGTTCTATGTATGACATTGAAGTAGCTCCTGGCGTTGGCTCGGTTATAACGGCAGACAAAGGTGTGATCGTGGCGCTCGTGAGCCAGAGTCGGAGTATGAGTCCTTATGGTGACCCCCGTGTGATTGTGGCGCTCTCTGCCGACCAGTTCTTGTCGGAGTACACATTTCCTATTGCCAATCTGACAGGAAAAGTGGTGTTCACACACCGAATTGTTATAATGGCCAAGACAAGTGACGTGTCTAACATCAAACTGGATAATTCCTATATAGCTGACCTCGGACTTGTGTGGACAGAACTGATCAACACTAACCTCTCAGTGACGTTCACCATTTTAGACGTTGGAGTTCATTCCCTTACTAGTGATGACGTCACATCCGTATTTGGGGGATATCTTGCAGGGCATGGATCAACAGAGGAATACGGCACGTTGACAGGTCGTTACCTAGGTAACACTAATCAGGTGAGTTGTTGAATAATTAAGTTAATTTTCCTAACCGTAGTATATTTTGATAATGACGTCATCATAAGTATGTCATTTCACTGTGGAATTCCTCAACTTTTCTAATTAGAGAATCAAGTATGATTACATTGCAAATTAACTGATATCTTTATGTCATTATGTTTTTCTTTTATAATGACTTTAATCTAAATTGTGTTGAGAAGAGAAAAGAAAATGTTATTAGTGGACGACTTTGAAGTTGAAGCTAAGACAAATAATTAAGTATACACTATCGCCTTTATCTACAGAGCGTGTGTACGGACGGTATTTCGTGTAATTGTAAGTATATGTACATTGTATTCTATATATAAATATAACTTTAAATATGGCTGATATCAAGTATAAAATGTTCAGTATACTACATTGTTTTATCTAGATGAATAGCAATATATATGACTCATACAAAAATATACATATTTCTATACCACATTGTCTTATCTAGAGGGAAAACATATACAATCCCTTATGTCAATTACAAAAGTATAAGTGTACTACATACTGTATTTCGCATTGTGAATCGCCTGATGTGAAGCTGATAGACATGACAAAAAGTATATATTTATCATATTACATTGTGTTAAGAATAGCATTAGATGTGACCGATATCAATTGCAGTAGTGCAAGTATACCACATTGTATTATCTAGAGGAGAAGCGTTGTATATGACTGATGTCATTTAAGCAAGGTGGCAATTTGTAACTTTACAAGAAGTTGCTACTTCTTTTCTCCCACATGGAAAGATTTCATCACTTAAAACCATGGATGCAGCTAAAATTAGTGTATTTTTTATATAAAACAAAACTATATGTTCATGTCTGTTTTGTGGCGACACTGACCATTGTCTTGGGGCCGTTTACTCTAATTATAAGACCAATTAACAATTTAAATAATATGTTAGTGTATATACCGCCTTGAAACCAACACATAGGTCGATCCCTTAGTTGTATTAGTTGTACAAAGTAGTGCGGAAATGACGTCACTTATTCTTTCTGCAGATGGACGTTACAGAGGAGCGACATTTACACAGCGTGCTTTCGGTTACACTCCCAGTTCAGAACCATTGGTTACCTTACAAACAGACTCCGTACCATTATGTCAAGCAAAATGTTTGACCATAGATATATGTGTTTATATGACTATGCTAGAGGAAAATGGCATCTCTTTTTGCAAACTTTACGATCCCAAAGCCTCGTGTTCACAAATGGTGGAAAGTGAAGGAACTCGTCTGTATAAACGCTCAGTGGCGTAATACGACTGTTTCCATAGCTTGATTTGTGCATAATTTATAATAAGAGAATATTTGCCAAATACGCTAAAATAATACCTCTTGTTGATATATTGTAAAAGTGGAAATTTTCGCGGTATGGAAATGTTCATGAGTAAATCAGCGCGAAAATATCAACAGCCGAATGTTTTCCATATATTATAGATAAATATAGTATAAAGATTTCAGAACTATTGCAAAGAAACTGTGCATGCCTTAAATGTGTTATAAAAATAGATGTGTATGACGTAGAACTACAAGGTTTTCAGGGACAATTTATTTGTTATTTATTAACAGTTGCATTCCATTTGCCACGTTATGGAATCGATAAGTTCCGCTCAGGTGTGACGTAACGTTCTGCTGGGCCAGAAAGTCCATAGCGACACGAGCTGTGTGTGGCCTGGCGTTGTCCTGCTGTAGCGTAATGTGACGTTGCTTCCCTTGCACGAATGGAACGACGTGGGTCCGGAGGATCTCGTCACGGTAACGTAGCGCGTTCAAATTCCCGTTAACAACCACCAGTGGCGTTCTCCTGTTGGCTGTGATGCCGCCCCAAATCATAACGCTGCCTCCGCCGAAAGAACGTCGTTGTACCACACACGCGTCACGGAAACGTTCTCCAACGCGACGATACACTCTGGAACGGCCGTCAGTATTATCCAGGTGGACTCGCGACTCGTCCGTAAACAAAATGCCTGCCCTATCCCGTCGAGTAAATCGCAGATGCCTTCTGCACCAGTCCAGACCTGCTACACGATGACGTGGCAGAAGAACTGGGCGATTGCAGGACGTCGCGGACGGATAGCTTGTTCACGCAATCGGTTCCGTACAGTTCTCGGGCTTATTGGGCTTATTGGTAGCAACCCAGGGTTTGTCCGTGCAGTCAAACTTGCCGTTTGTAAGCGATTTTTCAAATGGACAAGCCGAATATAGTTGTCCTGTTGACGTGACGTTACACGTGGACGTCCCGCACGAGGTCGATCGCCAACGTGGCCAAACTGTTGATGTCGTCGCCACAAATCCCGGATTGTGTTTCGACGGACATGAAAATGTGTAGAAACAACGGCTTGGCCCATACCAGCTTGAAGCATACCAATAATCCGGAGGCGGTCATTTTCATTGAGCCTCGGCATAGCAATAATCACAAATTAAAACGTTATAATGCTGTTTTCACTGTTCACTGGTCTCAACAGAGTGACCCAACAGTTTAAAAATAAACTTTGATTGTTGAATTGGATGGCTGGACGAGAAAAACGTGCAAACTGGTCAACGCCTATAGAGAGCAAACTGCACGGGATAAACTGTCAATGACACACGGATAGTGTGTATGTGTCATACTCGGTCATGTGTGTGAATTTTCATGTATATACAGTTGGTAATACATGTTCTATAATAATTCTCCACATGCACTGTTTCTTTTTTTCCACTAGTATATATTCTAGGGCCTGTGTGCGGTACAAGAGTTTGTGTAGTGTAGTGGATTTCATGTCATAGTAAAACATTTTACAATAAAAAATAGATGGCCTCACTTATATTTTGTAAAAGAGATATTCTCCTGATGACACAATGCAAAGTATTGCGAAACATACTCCGCACGTTGGGCATGTTTAGACATATCTAAATACAGAAGAAAAATATACCGAAAATAACTAATAGATAAGCTCATGCGCAATTTTGCATACTCGTTTCATTGGTGTGAAAATGGGATAATTTGAATATATTAATCCATGTAATTTGAATCTTATGTGAAAATCTTATTTATTTTCTCCTTTTTTATAAGCCATGCTTAGTATGATATAATAAGGATACATTTTCGTTTAATGGCAAAACCATTTAATGGATGTTTATTATCTATGGGAGATGTGTGAACATTATTTGATACAATAAAAACTGCCTTTCTCGGAACGTCACGATTCAACTTCCGGCAAGCTTGATTTGCTTAACTGAAAAAATACTAATATGAACAAAATAGTAAACAAACCAAATGAGGAAAATGAAAATCAAACTATTTCTGTTAAAGTATATATGGAGTAAATATATCATAGTGGCTTGAACTACGAAGCGATGAATGCAAAACATTTTGCTCAGATTTGTATTTTGGTATTCATACAATGAACAGCATCATAAGAATTAAAAAAAAACCTTTTCTTTAATGATCTTGACGACATCATCAATTTTGTTGTTAAAATTGGAGGTTCACATTTATATATACTTGAATATACTAGGCGCAATTAAATGGATTAATTGATGTATTTATATATGTACAATGTACAAGAAAAGGATGTAATACAGAAGAGAAAGAGTTCCGTTAAGTTAAAATCGATCCTATCTATCAGAATGCACAGATAGGAAACATTTAAATATATTTCTACAGATTTATTTCTTTTGATGACATTTCCACAATTACAGGTGTTCGATATTTGATGTTCTAAAAACAATATAAAGAAAACAACAGAATTTCATTGGTGTAACTTTAGTCCTATTCACTGCCAAGCCCATTATGTATCAATGATATTTTATTTCAGAATAATTCAATCTTGCTTGTAAGAAGCATTTTCATTGGCTTAAAAATGTATGTTATCAGTCCATAACGTAAAAAAATGACGTCGCTGTTTGTAACGTCGCTTTTGATTGGCTGATACAGCGGCGTAATAATTTTTAAGAGAAAAGAGTCCATCAATAAAAGTGGATTTACACAGGGATTGTGTATTGTAGATTAAATTTTAAGGATTAACTTGAAAATATTTTTTGTGTTATATCTCCATAACATAAAAAATATTTTCAAGTTAATCCTTAAATAATTTGTTGCTCAGATCGTATATACAGAAGGAACTGGGCAACAGAAGACATTGTATAAACACCCTTTTTCAATTATGACAGATGAACACATGATTAGGATATATGTTATTACAAGACTCGTAATTGCTATTGACTGCGAATTATCATGGTACTGCAAGGCACAACTATCAACCAGCTAGTCATACAATATTTGGTGGACAGCTAATATCAGTTGAATCTTACATAGATGTGGACAGTGAAATCTCAACCCGAGTGTGAGAGTTTGGCTGTCTAGAACGAGGCTTTGTGCCGAGTGCTGGACAGCCAAACTCTTACTCGAGGGTTGAGATTTCCCTGTCCACTGAGTATACCCATATTTGATTCTTCTTCTCCCATACTCGAAATAAACATGCCAGTGCCAATACTCCGTGACCTTCATATGATTGTATTCCATGACGCGCATGAATATAATTATGTTAATTCTTTAGGGGTGATGAACCCTGAACACAAAACTAGAAATCCATTTAAAGCACTATGTAACAATATTGTTTTATTTGATAATCCAACAACTGTTATATATCAGTTGTTATATCTTAAAATAAGTACAAAATTAATGAAAACTTAACAGTCAAAACAACGGAACTATTTCAAACGCCGATGGCATGACGTCATACCGCGTGTTACATGTTTATCTTTTCACGGGTCAATTCATGTCTTTCACGGGCAAGTATGGGAGAAAAATTGTTCATTAACAAACACTAGACTTTGTTGGTTCCAACGCTGCTGTCCGGACGTTGTAAATGCACCGTATCAAAATGATAGATGAATACCTTGCCAAAAATAAGCTCTAAGCCAGAAAAAGTACCATCTTGAGTATGTGATCATAACATTCTTATTGACATATCAAGGTCAAATCCTGCAAATATGTAACTGTACTGTCTGAAACCATTGTTAAGGCACTGTGTGTGTAAAGAAAGTCTTAGACGACAAAATGTTTCTTTTGTTCCATGTCAATAACATGTGTGTAATATACAATAATAAAATACAGAAAAACTATTTTGCAGTCAAGTTCGTCCGCTGATTATTTCAATGAAACCTTGGTCATATACTTTCTTTTTATATAATATACCGCTGTTGGTATTAAATTAACATAAATATTGTTAGCCTAGCGTCAAATCGATAGAGAATGTCGTTTATGGTTCTTGTGTCGTCTTTATATCGACTTTGATTTCTTGTGGTACACATGCTTTTATTCGCAAGCAGTTTCCCACTTCGATTTATCTTAATGCATTCAATTCGTTCAAAATTGTGTTAACAGTATTATAGCTGGCTTAAATGATACACAGAAAAAAATTACTTGCGGTTTTTTTATCTTTATTATATATATTTCAGGGCCTGATTACGCTTAGAAAGTTGGACAACTGTCAGGATTAGGATTCTGGGTATCTTCACAAATTTCCCTCATGCGAAAAGTCTCTTTAGTGTAATATATGGCATTTGATAAATACCCGACTAATCTAGCATTAGTAATTACTATTGGAAGTAAACTAACGAAAAAGTATAGCGTCATATGTAGCTATTGATTGTAACCTCACAAGTAAAACATTATTTGTTACATTTATTATTTATGACTTTATATTTTTACGGAGATATTCCAGAGATGAATGTAAATATCAATGTTACTCTAAAAGTCTGCAATTATTAATGTTTGTAAAAAGTAATATAACGATGAATTCTAGCGTCATATTTGAATATTGATCATTACCAGCGTGATATTCTAGCGTTATATTTGGATATTGATAATTACCAACGTGATATTCTAGCTTCATATATGAATATTTATAATTACAACGTGCTATTCTGGCATTATATTTGTCTATTGATAATTACCTTGCGACGTAGTCTACCGTCATATTTGGTTATTGATATTTACCTAACGTATCAGTCTAGCGTTATTCATGATATTAATAGTTATCAAACGAGATTGTGGTTCGGTGTTATATAAGGCTTTTGATGTTTTCCTAACGAGAGGCAACATACAATTACATAACGTGATAGCATGACGTTATATGTGGTTATTCAGTTATCCTCATATTCATATTCTGAAACACTAAGGGATAAATAAACCAAGCAATCTTTGCATAACAATGTGCTGTTTTATTTATTTTAAAGAGAATACAAAAATATCATAAAAATTCTTCATGCAATTTAGAAAAAGGTGGTTGAAAAATTATAATAAATCAATTGATTCGGAACGAACTTCTGGATGAGAACGCATAACACTAAATGGGCGTGCCTCTTTGGCTATTGATAATTAACACCCCAGGTTTTCCTGGAAAGCCTACATGTTTCAAAAAGCACTTGTAATTTATTATTATGGATTTCGTTAGTATGAACAAATATTCATGGAGCTATTCAGATGCTCACGGTACACTCATTTAACTCTAACGTTTCGAATGAACGATTCAAACATCATAACAGAGATCAATAACACCCAGTAACCTTGGTCTAGAACTCTAAAACAAAAACAACATCAAAGGTGATCTCAACTTGAATTAATTCAGATATTATCACAATCACGTTTTTTCAATTCAGAAATTTTTCACACTCAGGCACCAGGGACTTAAGTATAAAACAATATGTCAATGGACCAATACCGTGCTGTGACACCATTTTATTCTTAGTGCAAATATTGAACCGTTACAAAACATTCTGATATCCTGTAAGTGAAAGTAAACAAAACAATCCTACGCTTCTTAATTAGAAGTGAGAATCTCACGAGTGACAACCGTTTCCATGGAAACTATGATCTGTTAATATTGCCCAGTATCTGAATAAAAAGGTAAGAGAATAACAAAATATTAATCTCTTGACTGACAACCGTTTCGATATATACTTTGGTATGTTAACGTGGCGTAGTATTTGGATATCAATGTAAGCGATTTTATATTGATAATTTCTTGAGTAACAACCGTTTCCATGGATACTATGGTATGTTTACATTGCATTCTGCTGTTCTCTCACACTTGTTTTGCTTTACTGGTAAACAATAAGCGTCAGAAGCCTGCAGTATCAAATACAGTAAAACCTCGTTATACTGCCACCATTTGTCTAGTCATCTGTATATCGGTATATAATTTGAAGGTACCCAAAATGAAACCATTTATTTTAAGAAAAATATTTATATTTCCCATTTAGTTATTGTGAATCATTTGTTTATTTAATGCAATAATAGACGCTGAATAATTTATTTTGTGTTTTTCCCAGATATCAACAATGTGTGTGTCTATTATTAGAGCCAATTTAGTTCAGTCATGTTCACTTGGTAATTTTAGTTTGCCGGATATCGAAAACGGAACATCTCATCATATCAGTAAGTTAATGAAAATAACTGACAAAACTTATAATATGTTTCTTTATTTTAAGAATAACCGCACTATATCCCTGGAATGTTTCTCATTTTCTTTATTCATTATTTCATTATTTCAGTTAAAAACAACACATAAGGGCAGTCAGACACAAAAAAAAATCGAATTGGTTATATCTACATACTTTTTTATTTAGAATATAATACAATCCATTTACATTGGAAATTAGGCAAGCCACATTATATATATGAAAAGTGATCCATTTCGGGTGCCCTTACGTTAAAGTGGTTTGTCGACATATCGAGTGAGAAGAACAAAGGAAGTAAGTGAGGTTGCAACTTAATTACGAGAATTTATAACCATTATCAACACTGTTTGCAACCATTGCGTGATGCCATGTATTGTAATATTATTGTATATATGTTGTAATGAATGGGACTGAATAAGTTAGAAAAATATTGTGTCTAATCCGTTTGCTTATTTCGCAACAACATATGAATATCAGGGTCATTAGATCGAATGTTTACTGTATATAACTAGAAAGTATTTGAGACGAGAATGCAACGTAACATCTGTGTATGACGACATTGATTTTACCAGACGCTGTTGCAACACTGGCACCAAACTAAGTGATTATCGCGTCAATTTCAAATTAATCTTGCACGTAGGTTTAATATAAAATGTGGTACATCTGATGATGAATGTAATACAAACAAGGGCTATTGCACCTTCTCAATTTTAAAATAGATACAGTTTACCAAACAAATGATAAATACCGCATCATACATCCTTCTAGATCTCATCGGTGGTGCTGGGGTCCAACAAGTTTAACGACAATTTACACGTTGCTACCGATTGTCCTTCCTTGATTGCATCGACCCATGTCTTTTGTTGGCGATGAAACGATATTTTTCATTAGATTTTAAACACGTACTGTGAAATTAATACGCACATGCATGTATTATTTACTAACAGGTTTACAAGCTGCAAACGTGAAATGATGATCCATGTTCGACTCGTCTAGGTGAGTTTGTTTTGTTGAGTGCGGGTACACGCGTGCATTTGAGCAACTAATCATATCGACCAAACTGACATAAACCCATCACTTAAGAAAGCTAGACAAATCACGAAATGTTCAGTACATGATGAAATACTGATGACGAAATTGCTTACTGTTATGAAAATATTGTATGCATTTTCTTTTTAGCACATGTTTAAGTAAAGAACTAAATATTTCGATTTGTACAATGGTTTTGTGAACATTTTCTTTTTTAGTGTTGGCTTGGATATCCAGTTTTCCTAATCAGATATGCGAAGATAATTGCTACTATTATAGCTCACTATAAATCATAAATATTCTATTGAGTGAAATATAAGTAACAGATCGTACAAAAATACATTACGTTATACAAAACAAAACTGTGTAAGGGGACCTTTTCTCCGCCGTAAAACTAAAAAAACACAATGTAACGAGGGCGATTTTATCATAACAGCGAATATATTAAGTATACAGTATACTGAAGGTAGAAACAACATGCCAATTGCGATTTTAACGCAAGACCAACATGGATTTTACCGGTGAATGGTGAATATTTTAATGGGCGCAAGTACGTATCCCGATAAAAAAAATGATAATATCACAATAACTGAGTGTAGAAATTCAAGGAAACTCATATCCGCACATATATCACCATTGACTGTTATGTCACGAAGATTAAAAAAGGGCGGCATCCGACTTCAAAGCCAGTCAATTTTATCACCGTTACGCGACCGTGAGATTCTTTTGATGTACATCAAAGGATCGAACCAGTGTGATCAACAAGGTTGCGCACACTGAGCCTTCAATTTTGCTATGACATATTCCATGGGTACAAAAGTGAGCGTAACTTCTGGAGTTACGAGGATGCTGTGTCTAAAACAATGACATTTATAACAAGTGCAGTTGTTCTGCATGTTCTTGTTGGTGAGCGTTATATATCTCAACTCTACTGTCAGAAAAGGTCATGTTACTTTCTTTTCATCGAATGACAGCGATAAGAAACATTCTAAGCTTCCTTCCAGAGTTAATATGGATTTAATTTGAGATGGAAGATTGGATGTACGGACAAGGTCGTGTATTTTGTACCCAGAGTTACTACGGACAACGTCACGGGATCTATGCACTAGAGTCTTCGGCGTCAATAAGAACCTGTTAATTTGGTCTAATGTATGAGGAGACAAAGTAGTACTGTCATGTAACGCGGTAAGCAGTTTTATGTTGCATTTAGGTATTGTGTGAGCATGTTGTAACAAAAGTGAAAGATGACTTTGTAAATCTGGAAAAGAAAACAGAACCTGATGTAGAAGTGATCCTTCATGGCGGCTTCGAAAAATGTCAACATTTGCATAAAGAAGCTCCCCTATAAGTCTGAGCGACAGGAAATTTGTGAGACAGTTCCGTCCGAAGAAGGGGTCAGCCCCAGCCATGAGCAACTGCCGTACCGAGGAGTAGGCTCGGGACGCAAGTGCTGTGTACAGCGCTGTTTTCCCGTTTACTGATTCACGATTCACGTCATTTCCATGTTCTAGCAGCCTTGAAATAAGGGCAGATTTGCTGTAGTAAAAACTGGTGATGTTTGCTTCAAACAGCATCACTAGAGGTGGGTAGTTCTGTGTAGCATCGATGTCATACGGTACACCTGCGTTCTCCAGCAGCAAAGCACACCGATCATAATGGAACGCCCGAGCCCAATTTAGCGCTGTGTAATGTTTGTACCGAGTTTGAGCATAGTTACTCTGTAGTAAGATCTCCAATATTCTCGTGGAGTTGTTCAGGACCGCCTGTATGACGACTGGGAGTTCATGGTAAGGTTTTTCCTTCAATAACCTCCTTTTGTAGTTTTCGAGGATGTGGGTCGCCACTGAAGTGTTATCTGTAAATACACATGGTATCAAGAGTTATTAAACGTACAAAACAAATATCGACTTGCATATACAGAACTGCATTCAATATTTTCTTTCATCCCTGTGCTATATAATGTATATAATACATTGTTTTGAAAGAATACATTAGCATTGGAAAGCTTAAAGGCGAACACTTGATGAGTATTTAAAATGACTACAACCATATTTGCCTCGATAAATATGCAAAGTCAAATATGGATCTGGTGAGCACAAGTCAGGTTTATTACATAGCGTATATTTAGGATAAAAATACTGACCGTAAAAGACAGCATAATACAGCATATAGCGACAGCCGACTCCTTTCAATTGAAGAAGCTCTTTCACAATAGTGTTATCATCCTGTAAAAGCAGGTCCTTGATGACGTCGTCCCTCGTTAGCAGGCACGGACACCGATAGACAATTCTCGATATAGTGAGGGGCCATAGCTTCACCCCCTTCTTAACCAGACATTTAATGCACTTCATACGGCGGTTCTGAATTGCTATGAGAAAAGCGCAATGGTGTATCAAATATTGAGTTATACCTCGACCGCCAGACACGAGGATTTTGAGAGACCGGGAGTTGTCGTCCTGCACGGCCAGTTTCATACTTGTATGGAAGACATTTTGATACGCATCTGTGTAGAGCTTACTCGAGGTGATGTGTGATGTCATAATCCCCAGTATTTGGTCCTGTCGGTGGAGCACAGCAAGTTGATAGGGTTCGACCTTGTGCACAGAGGTCATGACCTCCTCACTATCTATACTGAAGCCAAACGGCTCTCTTTCGTTTTTCGCATTTACAATATACTCTACGACCTTGACCTTTCCAAATGTACTGGCAACATGAATGGCAGTGATTCCCGCAAAAACCGTCTCATCACACTGCTTAGTTACTTTCTGTGTGACACTTTCATTCTTTTTTTGTGAACTGAAAACTGGTATGTCTTGTGTTTGCAATGGTTTTGCGACCTTTCGACCAGGTGACGTATTTGCTTCTGCGAACATATGGGGACAGCGTCCACGTTCTATAAGAGTCCTGAGTTTTTGAAGAATGTCTTCCGTAGATGCTGATTCATCAAATGCAAGTGTTTCAAAAGTCTTGGAGCAATTACATGCCTGTGAACAAACTTTAAAATACAAATGCCAGTTAATTTTGTCATCCGTCAAAGGTTTCTAAGATCTCGAAGTTATAGGTATACACACTATATATACAGATAAATACACATCTCGTAAATCATTGAATAACAAATGATGCGTTTCTGTCAGAAAGGAGTTCCGGCTGCAAGTGAAATAAAAATTCCAGTATTGCACAGTTTGAAATACAGAAGTCTGTAGTGCTATCAATCGAAAGTTTCAATCAGTTCACTTTAAATGACCAGGCACTAAGTATGATTGAAACAGTGTACTTAGTATTGAATTACATATACAGTAAAATATTATTTGTAAAAGAATAGTTGATTGTTCTACAATATTTATTGCACCTTGGATCTTAGAAAAGAAGACTGGTAATACATTGGTCAAGAGTGCCTGTACTGAACTATTATGGGAAACAATTTTATAGAGACCCCAAAAAATGAATGGTGAGTTACAAAGCTTGTAAAACAAGTAGTTGATTAGCATTTTTTAATGCGTTATGTTGCTGCTGTTGCCCACTCAATCTGTTAATGTTCATAATGGCTAAGCCATGGAGTATATGCATATAGCAATATAAGCATTTACGTATGCTTTTTTACAATTCAAAACCTAATATATGGATATATACATTGTTTTGAAAATACTACACTACATAAAACAACCTCAGAATACACATGTTACCTGTAACAGTTCCAGGGCTTACCGATTACAATGTCGCCCATTGGCGACCAGTTTCGACGTTTGGCGACAAAAACACTTTCGACGATGTTTTTGGCGATGTTCACCACAGTCAATTATCGTATAGTCTATGAAATGTAGTCGTGATTTACCATCACACACTTGGGAAATATAATGGCCACAAATAACTTATGATGTAAAGTACAGTGTAGTTGAACCGTATGCATGCCATTGGATAATGTCGATCATGCCCAAGCTATCCCGACTAGACCGAGATAATAGACCTTTTATGATACAGTCTGTTTTAGTTTTAAGCATACTCACCAACAGTTATCCTTTTACTTATAAGTTCTGGGTCTTCTTTCATCAACTTGATGATTTCTTTAGACGGTTTCTCAATTAGATCTTTTGTCCATATCCAGTCTTCATCATGCGCGGCACTACCTGCTACTCATATATAATATAAATAAAAATAAAAACATTAGCATGCAAAAAATGGCGAATATACAGTGATACAGAAGAGAAAACTATCCTGGATTTGCAACCTATTTAACCATTATCAAGACTTAAATGATATTAACGTATTAAAATCATTAAAAGTGCAATGAAAGTATTTTAATATTTTAAGCAAACTGTATGAGTTATAAACATGTAAGGTATCAAAACATTAAAGCAAGAATACAGTCATCCTCGATACTCCAGGGGTTCCGCTCACTTTCGCTCTTTGCACTCCTGGAATATGTCATAGCAAATTTGAAGGCATACTGCTAGCTATTTGATTGGTTTCAGGTTAAAAATCCTAACCAATCCCTAGGCTGATACCTGTCATTTGAAGATAACAAAGAAGTGACAACCAACTTCAAAGAGAGTCAATAATACCGTTACGCGACCGACAAATTCTTTTGATGCAGAAGAGTTAAACTGGTCTTCTCGTCTCATGCACAAGGTGATGTACACTGAGCTTTCGATTTTGCTATGACATATTCTAGGGGTGCAGAGAGCAAACGTGGCCGTAACCCCTGTAGTATCCAGGATGGAATGTATTTGAAATTTATAATACAATATGTATTTGTCCTAAAGTCAGAAGTACAACTTTGAACTAGCACCTACTACATTCAACGAATTGTTCCACATAACCACCTAATAAGTGCCTCCAACAACACCTGTCGTATATCTATCATATTCAAGATACAAAACAATATTTTACCTTGTGTTGAAATACGAAATGTCCACCAGTTTTGTTTGAGTTAAACAATTAGTATGTACATGCACTATCAAACACACAACTGATGAGTCGGTCAGTTAAGCAACAAAGACGAAAAAAAGGAAATGTAATATAATATAAACACCATATTATTACTAATTACATCAATTCTGACAGCGAGGCAAACATACACAGAAGTATAGCTCATTTCCCATTAGGTCTAAGGAATGAATCAATACAGCTCCACATTTTCACTACACAAACCACTGACTGGAATATTAAATAATTTACTACACTTCCGAGATTATTGTATTTATTTCTTGAAGCTGGAAAAATGGCAACCTTTCAGACATTACCAATCATAGCACTTCCTTTATCAACATACCCTGCTTCTCTTCAGCCATTACGCTTTGTTTAGCTGTGACCCCTTCTGGAACCCCTTCAGCCATTACGCTTTGTTTAGCTGTGACCCCTTCTGGAACCCCTTCAGCTATTACGCTCCGGTTAGATGTGGCTCCTTCTAGAATCCCTTCAGCCATTACACTCGGTTTAGATATGGCCCCTTCGAGGGGCTCTTCATGTACATCGCCCTGTTTCGCCCCTCCTAAGTCATCACGTCCTGTAATGTAACATAACAATATGATGCAGAGAATTACATGAGGCTTCTCCATAGAGAAATTTACTGAGAAAGCGAACAGAGCATTTTTTCAAAAAAAAACAATCTGGGATGATTACGACAAGGAAAAGGGAAACTTAAATGCCTATGTTCTGTGAGAAAACGTCACACCATTAAATCATATCTAGAGAATTTATTTTTAGATGAAAGTCAGTGTAATATTCGGTTCCTGGAAAAATTACCGAATAATTCCAAAAAATTGCAACTCAATGAACACACCTTAATCCAAACAAACGATTGCCAAACACTGTTATACACGCGTATAATACTTTATACGACGTTAACACAACATAACTTTCCATTATAAACGATGATAACTGTAGTCGAAAGAACGTCAATGAGGGATTCAACGTAACAATGTAACGATAGACAACTCCGACACCAAACATAGACATTATAGCCAAATGAAGATAAGTGACAAATGCAGGAACAAAAAACGAAAAATACGGAAAAAATAAAGTTACCTGAAAAAGGACACTAACAAACATCAGAACAGTAGAACAGAACGAATCCATTTCACATAAGTGGAGAAAGAAAGAGGAGGTAACTGGTATATGAACTACTTGCTCAATTGAAATATACACACTTTGTTGACATATTATTACATTCGAAAAGGTATCAAATATACAAAAATGGATTTTTCATAACGGTATCATCATTACACACACTAAATCATATATTTAATTATAGCACTTACTTTCAAAAAGAAAAATGTATATTGAAAAGTGTAAAGTGACCTCCATTCATCTATGTTAAATTGAATATCGATACAATAGGTTTTCGTTTGGTTTTATTTTTACGTTCCTCGATCATTTTAAGATACATGTAGAGCACTTAAATTCTTTAATAAGACGTAATATAAAATGAAATGTTTCAATGCTATAAATTGAGGCAAGGAAAAATATTCATTTTAAATGTGCAGTCACACGTGTTTGAGTGTGTTACATCATTCAAGACATAAGATGGTAGAATGTAGGAACATTTAGGTGTATAAAAATGCAACGGAGCCGGAGAACACGTCAATACTATAATTATGGAACTTTGTCCATGTTGATCGTGGGTTAATCATATTTGATTATGATAGACTTTAACATCTGATAGCTTGAAACAAGATAATCATCATCAACGTGGCATAGCCTATCATGGACATAACCTTCTGAGGACAGTTTTGGCTAAAACGTTTGGTGTTCAACAGGATAAATCAGTCCAGAACATTCTATGTAACAGGTAGTACATAGCCAGGGTTTCCTTCTGGAGAGCCTGCTATCTACACTAGAAATATAACACAATCGTCACTCTGACTTACATCTAGTCCGCTAAAACAGACGATAATCGCAGGCTCAAAAATTCTGATCGGTCGCCTGTTTATATATAGCGGACTAACTTACCTAGGGACAAACATCGTGTCAAGGGTATAAAAGAAAATAGCCATAAAATAAAGCACTATGTGATGTGTTCATAGAGTAATCGCATAGAGTAATCGCAAACAGATAAATGCATGATACGAAGTCGATGAGACAAGTGGAATTATAACATTACTATATGTATAGGCGCTTTAGCTTTCCTATGAGTAAACAAAACTATTGCACAACAGAACGTAACTACGCTGGTTATAAGCGATCGATATACGAAATGTAAGAGCTACGTCTGATTGGTTGATTTAGACGAATGTAAGATGACATGGTTATCCTGTACATTACCTCAATATTGGGGCATATTCCTCTGATGTTCTTGTGAAAGCTGTTCAATATTATGGCAGGTTACAGGAAGTGAGTATTTCACATGCGTACTAGCACCGTAATGAGTTCTCTGTAGTAATGCTGTCGAGAGGAATGCCAGGGGACCGACTATTGATTAAAGCGACTAGCTACAGTCCAACGATTTTCGCCTTTGCTCTTTACCCAACGTGATCGTAGTCGGTTTACTGCACCTATATGTCAACACGTACCTATTTAAACCCCTGTAATGTTATATCCACCCCAGTGTATTTGTAGATATGCATTGTGTAGTGTTTAAGGTTCAGGGAAGCACTCCCTCCAACCGTTATAGAAACGGTACAAAGCGACGTGTACGCAGTAAGTAATAACGCAATACGCTAAATTGCTACGAAATGACATATCTAAATATAGTTCATTCATATACCTAGGTCATGCAGAACTTCTTAACCTACCTGTACAGAGGCGTAACGGTCTTAAGTCGAGGCAAACAATTTGTTTATGAAAGCATTTGCCTTAATGCCTTATTATTGACTACATTAACATCGCTATGTACCATTTTGATAACTTAAATATAAGTTCGATTTATCCAAATAGCATTTCTTAATTCAGATGCTTAATTATTGCCTTTAAGTAAAACTTGTCATTGTTTCAAATTAAGGGTGACTATACCATCTTTTAGGGGATTTGTTAATCTTTAAAACAAAAAATCATGCATGTTTGTCAACTGTATCCAATGTCTAGTCTTGTTAAAGCCTGACGTAGTTAAATTAATACGTTATTTTTTCTATTCTTCTTATTCTTAAACATGAATCCCGGAATGTGCCCAATGTGATTATTTGTCTTAACTGCTATGAATATTTCACAAAACAACATTAACATTTAAAATGAACATCATTGTGTTGTCCTTTACAACAGAGACTTATATGTAATATATACGTCTCTGTTTACAGGTCTCTAAGTGAAACCAAGTTTTTGCCATATAACCTGATGTTCCTTATACAAAAATTTGGTATGTCTTACCATTTACCAGATCTTCATGTTATACTCTTGTGAAGGAGTAATACCTTTGTAAAAAAAGATATGAGAGAACTAATTAGATAGGGTGACAGAGAGTCAGTGATTAAGGATAAATTCGAGGATAACCGGGTGATTGACAGAGCTAGGAGAAGTGAAGAGAAGGAGAGTAAATTTAAATGAAGGGAAATTATATATTAAATGGAGCAATAACAATTTTAACAGTTTGGATGTGCGATTGGAGAAAAAAGATGATCGAGAATCACCTGTGTTCAGAATCTTATGTGAGGTCGGAGTGTGCAATAATGATAAAAATAAGTGTGACTGTGTTTGGAGTGGGACGAACGCTCGAGTGTCAACATGTAAACAATCATTTATCATCATCATAATTATCATCATCAGCAGCAGCAGCAGCAGCAGCAACCATTCATCATATGTGTATATAGATGTAAATAAACGGTAAATAGAATCCAGTGCATTGTTTTATGATTATGACATCGAAGACAAACAAATTGCTACGTCACGTTCTGATACGTTCATTCAACTACGCAATTTATCGATAAACAAAATGAGTTTCTAAAGCTTTTGTTTTTTCATGACCGCTTATTACATCGACATTGAAATAAATTAACTCTGAATACAACCGTTCTATACAATTATTTGTCCGTCTGTTTACGTCTGTTGAGTCGGTCAAATTTACCACTATGGTCGGAGTTCCATCTACTTACCATTGTATACTCGAATTCCTTGCACACTGAAGGGATTGTAGAAGCCGTTAAATGGAATCCAGCATAGGTTGATAGCGTTGTCTGGTGTCTGTTTATTACTAGCCCTTTGCTGTTGTTAATGGGACGCCAATATGACCTTACTGGTTATTTCTGAGTCGTATAGGGATGAATATAATAACAGAAATATATTTATGATCCAAATAACTGACATGGGAACGCAGTATATACCAATCCTAGTCTTACATCAGCTAACAAGGGGATCCTTTGTATATAACCTTTCCTGATTCCAATCGACTGTAAAGGAAATAGTCAATTAGCTGACCATTCTTACCTCATTTCGTATGCACGCCATTTCTTACCCACATAACAAGGTGTATGCGATAGAGAAAGAAAATGTCTGCTTTATTCAGATTTACTACTCATAATACTGACCTTAAAATGTTCATAATATTACGAAACTCAATCAATTTATCTTAGTAATTAATCAATATCATTTTGGTTGGTCGGGTAGCGGATTAGATAGCGCAATCGCCTTTCAACAAGGTGACTGGGGTTCGACTCCCCGATCGGACGTGAAAAGGTATTGGGTCACTTGCTCGACCACGTGCGTTTTCTCCAGGTTTTCCGGTTTCCTCCCAAAATGAAACCCCTTCGATCCGGGCCAACAAGGTGCTTGATATCAGTTGTAATATCATTTTTTTTTTTATTATTATTATTTAGTTTTTCAGCAGTATAATTTGCAATATTCAAATAGAAATGAAGAGCTCACCTCATCTTCGATCGTAACTTTAGAAGTCAGACTAACAGATAAAGAATATATATCAAAATATCCCAAAGATTAGCATATACACTGCGCTGCTTTAAGTTGACTTTAAAGTCAAAATAAATGTCAGATTTGAAGCGGCGAATTGAATGAAGCGCGCTAGCACTTCTTTCAATTCTTAACTTTCCAGTACAATTAAAGTACGCCGGCACTTTGTTCAAATTGTAAATTTCTAGTGCAAATAAAAGTACAAGACGATAAATCAAGTTAAGAACCACTTTTATTAGTGTTGTTCATAAATGAAGTATAAAAATATGACAAAATGGAAAATGCTGCTTTCATTGTTCGCATGTGTCACATGTCCTTTGGACAAAAGTAAAAATAAATGATAGCAATACAAAATAAAAAGTATATTGTTAAACATATCTTCGACATCAGGTGAGCGCCTGAAGGTAATTCTCAATCTTAATTTCAAAATATTTCAATGACATATAATGCTATTTATCCTCATTAAAACAGCACTTTAACTTCCTCAATTACAATAGCAGGTCGCATAAACCAATTCACGTATAAATAAACTGGAGTTTATTATGCAAGATTATTAAATTTCGTCGAATCTACTGAATTGGAACCTGTTGCACAAAATGTTGAAATGCATGTGTAATCCAAACACATGTCGGCCTAATTATCAATTAAATAAAACAACGAACTGTTGTGTCATTCAGCGACCTTTTTTTCATTCATGAAACTTTCACGAGCGTGCGTGGGATTTAATTTCACAATGTATCCTATAATATATAAACCAGTTTTTTTAATTATGAGCATGTTTTCTTAAATTTAAGAATTAAGATTACAATTCGTGTTCTGCTATTGACTTTCACAACAATTTTTAAATGAGATCAAACTTGGTTTGAATAAGGTATAAATTCATTTCATTAGCTACGCTAACTAATTGTTGTGAGTATCAAAATCAACAATTACAGAAATAATGCAGATTTTGGGATTATCATCATGGCGTAATCAATATCTTCAATTCATAATATCATCTATACAACAGTTGATAACACGTTAGAGGTCAGGTAGAGGTCAGTTAGAGGTGAGTGTATACAATGGTTAGCTAGGTATTTCACACATTGACTAGATTAATTAACAAAATCCAACACACAACTATCTTATCATGTCGAAAAGGCGAAATAAGGAACAAGACAAACAATGTGCTGAATATATTAATAATTATATACTACAAATATATAACCTACTTTGATATGACTTAAACTATGTTTAAGTCTACTCTCTGTTTTCATCGAGTCATTTCTAGAATTCGTCACTGGATTTAGTGGGTTTTAAGTTAACCGCTTAAAAGTTATGCGTGACCAAAAAATGATGTTGCAGTTCATTAAAATGTTGATATTTTTCAAACAAAACGTTTAGTTGATGTTCCTATTTCACAGCATTATGTAAATAAATAACGAAAACAAATCATATAATAAAAATAGTATTCTGAATTAAGCGAAACAGTATCAATTCTTCACATTCTGTAAGAGTTGGATTAACGTTAATGTGAGGTTCGTCGCTAGTTTTCGGTAATTCCTATTTATGAACGATATAAAAAAAACTGTGGTGGTCATTTTAACAGGCCATTAAAGTATGTGCTGCTGGTTGATCTATAAACACCAAGGTAGAGTTTTAATTGTATCACACCACAATGAGATTGCATCATAGAACCATACTGTCAATGGCAAGGGAGTTTTTTCGCGATTTTCATGTTAATTTTCTTACGCAGATAGTGCTAAAGGAAGGATGAACTAATTTTCTGTTAATTTCACGGGATTTTTCGAGGAAAGATGTTTTCCGCGACAATCCCAAAAATTAGGATCCCACGAAAACAATCTTTACAGTATAGCAATTTTTACACCCGTCATAAATGTAAATGAGCCTAGAAATACCAAAAACCAGCAGGAGCCAATCTACAAGTTCTTCAAAACGTCTTTCAGTCTTTTAACTTATATAAAAAGATGGAATCGATTCAAGTGGAAAGTCAGTAAGAAAAGGGTCAAAGGGACAGTATCTAGACGACATGATTCAAAAGAAGCTATAGAAAAGTCTAGTATCTGTTACATAACAAAACGTTAAGTTCACCGAATATATGCTTATATTAAAAAACATTGTCAATAGAATTGAATTTTTCATTTATATCGCCATGAACGTAATACTACCATGATGCACTAGTGTGGGAGAGACGACGGCCATTGCACTAGCTGGAATCCGGCCATCCGATTCTAACCGTTGCTGAAGAGTATTATCTTTAGAAAACTGTGGCTGTGCAGCCTGTGACTGCGTTGTTGACTCGTGATTATTTTTAAACTGACTGTGATTTAATCCTAGTTTGTTTGTTACCGTTAGAACATTTCCGTTAGTGCGGGAAGGTTGCGCTGGCGCACCATTAGTTCTGGAGTTCTGTGGCGTTTGTTGTGTGACGCCGTTAGTTCTGTTTTGCTGTGAGATAGACTGTGAGAGAGGCTGTGAGAGAGGCTGTGATTGATTTATACTACTTTGGCGACTATACGTCTGAGAAGAGTTCAACGACATCACTGTTGTTTGACTGTTTTGGCGATTGTACTGGGGTGTGCTAAACTGCACTGGATTGCCCTGTTTATGGAACTGCGGAGTGAGGTGTTTGTTGTGTCGTTCGAACACTGTGCTACTGGCCGCGACTTTCCGTAATCGTTCCCGGTACCCGTCATCTTGATCACTCAACCCTGTCTCCTGTCGTACATGGTTAGATTTGGCTACACTGCTAAGCAGTGCTATGGGGTTTGTGTCTCCAAAAGAATATTTTTGTCCAACATTTGAATCAAAATTTGACATATTCTGGCTGTCTTGCAGATTGTCAACCTTTCGCCCGTGTCCACGAGATGACCGACTGTCCAAACTGTCGGACGGATAATTGTCCTGGAAACTGTGGTCCGACCTGGGTGGCACTGGAGGGGGTTCACTGTCATCTTGGTCCACCCCCGGGGGGTTCTTGTATATCACTGGTGTCGAAGTCATTGCAAGCAATTTTGCTGGATCGTTAGCTAACAATTTCTCCTCATTATTAACAGCCTCTAGCAAGTTTTGTTTTTTCTCAAATCGATTTATGAGAGTTGATATAGATGGAACAGAATGTCCATTTCTATCCAGTCTATCAAGAGAGGTAGCCATTTTTTTCTCGTCCTTTCTATTATCTTGACCAAAGTTCAAAGGTAAATTTCGCGAAGGCTTAGCTGGTGGCTGTCTAGTACTAGGAACCGGAGTTGTTTCTTGCACAATCGGCGTTTCATGCACTCGATGGTAAGCGAGATTTTTTGCCGGAGTACTTTGCGTACTACTAGGAAAATTTTGTGAACTGGTAGGAGTGACACTAGATCTGCTAGTTAATGGAAATGTGTTCATATGTGACATCACAGGCGGTTGCGACGACGGTGTAACTGTTGTAGAAGGGAACGTAACCGGGTCTGCTCTGTGTTTGACGGCTGGTCCTGTTTCTAGTCGACCCTGGTTTTCATAATTGTTAAAACGCTTTGCACTATATGACGGAACACTTGGTGGAATGTGTTGAAATACGTGTGTGGGCTTATCAGTCCTTCGGTTGACACCTTGTTCGAATACGGGATGCCTTGTTGGGAGCCCATCCCTGTCGTTTGGTGTGTATGCGTCAGATATACTAACATTGCTGCCAAGAAGAATAGGCGCGCGTGTCCTATTCACACCGTTTGCTGTAGGGTCGCGGTTTGCATTCTTTGGAGTTGTATTGTTATTTATATCACTTTTATCGAATGCGTTAGCGATAATGCTAGGAGATGAGTAACCATCCTTGTCTACATGTGCATGGAACGGTGGCGTGTGGTACAGTCCGGCGTACTCCGTTGATACATTAGAGCCCGTTCGTCCCTTACCTCCTCCTGTCGTCATTATACGACTGTCAAACACGTTCCTGCGTTCAGCAGAATTCGTCCGATAATCCCGTGAAAAACTACCTCCGGGCTGTGTTGCGTATTTTTGAGATTCATGAAACCGGGAGGTTGCCTGTCTACTGTCTCTACCTATACTCGTAACATACGGGCTAATCTCATTCTCAGACACCACGACACGAAGGGGCATATAAGATGGTATTGACGTCATTGATGAGCTGTGTGGTATGTCCATATTTTCCTGTAATCCTGCAACTTCCGCAGTCCGTTTGCCGGATGTGGTTGGCGAGTGCGTAAATGTCTGCACAACAGAGTTTTTAAACTTAGAGAATGAGGTAGAGTTTTGTGTAGATGTCTGCTGTCGCTCAGCCATCTGGTGGGAATAATCGGCACTAGTCTTACTATCGCCACTATTGTTTTGTTTACCAGGTTCCCGTTTGGACCACGACACCAGAGGAAATTGATGTTTATCGGTCTTTTTCCCGGCCCATTCTAACGTATCCGACTGTGATGTGCCTGAGCGAGACTCAGTGGCCAATCTCTCCATATCCTCGTGGTTTTCGTAGTTGTGAGCGCCAGGAAATCCGTTTTCTGATGGCACTGAGGTAGTTGAGGCAGCTTTGGGGAGGGGCTTGTGAAGACCGGAAGAGGGAGGTTCACATGTTAATTGTTTTGGTGAATGAGATTCCTGAAGAGAGCTTAGATGAGATTTATACGTGGCAGACACATCCTTTGATGTTGCACTAACCACAGCTTTGTCTGTGTAGTGACTATCTGAGTAACCGTTGACCAGTGCCCCCTGGCGGGGGAGCGTGCCATCCTTCCCAGAATTACTTCCTCCCTTCTGAACGGATGTAGGTCCGCGTGTGCCATTGGTGTTCTGAACCGTATCCATGAACTTGTGGCCAAACATTGCCGCCTTAAAAAGAAAAGAAAAAGAGGACTGTAGAATATATTCATAAGGTAAAGAAACGGTTTATGGTATTAAAATGCTTCATCAATTATATGGCTTTATAGATTTCATCACCGTAATACTGTCCTGTAATAACAAAATGAAAGTTTTTACCAAACAAAAGAACTTTGTAATGCAAGTAAATATGAAATGTTAAACTGTTGCACCAGTGATAAATAATTACTAGAAAAACAAGGAAGCACTTATTTATCACATATTTATCACATACACCCTTGAAGACACAATTTAATTCTTCAAATTCAAAGATTGGAATAGTTCATTATTAAATTCCAGGTGTGAATGGGTTAAACCTTTAGTAAGTCTCCAATTTATCAATAACTTACCAATTGTCCTCTGTGCTTGAAGTCAATCTCGAAACGTTCCTTGCCTAGTTTACGATGTGCTAGTTTCCAGTAGTACTTGCAGTCATGTAGAAAGGTCGCCCACAACTGGAAGAATTCCTGAGGTGTAGCCTACAATTATACATGATAATTGATTAACTTAGCATAGTAAAAGCATTCAAACATTGCTTATTTCCACAGACAAAAAAACCTGATCGTGGTTTTGTTTTAAACTTTAGATGAGCGAGATTCTTAAGCAAAATCCTCACCGTGTCAGTGTCCATTAAAAAGTAGGCGGTAGTTCGCCGGAAATAAGAACGCGTGTCTTGCAGAAGGCGCTCCTCTTCCAAAATGATCTCCAACGCTACAAAAATATATTGATATGCTTCACTTTTAAACATATATACGTATATATAATCAATATGTTAATAATCATTAGATTATATTATTGAACTGACCATAAAAATTAGAAACGTATTTTCTTTAAGATCTTAGAAAACAAATAAAAGATTTAAATTTACATTAAACCATATTTTCTGATGCGCAGTAATTCTTCTCGTTAAAACTTTACAAATGAGTAGGTACAAAGCATTTTATAACGCATTGATAGTTCTTCAAGCTCATATTTACTTATCATTGTTAACACTTCATTATTTAGATATATTAATTGTCAAATTTGCTTACCCAATTCAAATATATGTTTATCATCGATTAAATACTTTTTAGTAAGCAAATGATCTAATTTAAACATGCTAAAATATATACGTTAGCATTAATTGGGGACTGCACATAATTAAAAATACAGATTTAGACACATTATTTCGGGATTATTGTTGACCTTGTAGATGGGAACAAAGGTAACTTACCACAGGTCAGGTAGTTTTCAGTGGTCGTCCATAAGTTATCCCTGGGATCCGTCGTGTCTTTTGTTGACATGACTAGGTACTGTAATAGTGAAAAACACTCCATTGTTGCTATCATGTCAACATATGTCAAAAAAGAAGAATGAAAATTTGTGTTATTAAATTTTGCTTCTTTTGATTATCTATTAAATATTAAGTGTGTTTGGGAGTAAATAAAATCTGGATTGACTATAAAGTTTATGATTTTCATAAGACAACATGATGAAAATGTTGCAAAAAAAAGGGTTGTTGCTCAAATGTTAAGCCATGTCATATGGTACACGAAATAAAATAAACGAATTTGTATTGACAAAACATAATATAAAGTGCTTATATTATCGAGTTAACAAACTAATTAAACCTTACCCTTTCTCTCGTACTCTTTACTTCAGCTTTCATATTTGATAGAGCTTCGTGGATGTTATCGAATGATACCTGCAATGTTACAATTTACCTTATTAAGTTATCGGTATCCTTGGTTCATACATATAAAACACATGTGTAAACAAGTAATATTTCTATATTGATCATAACCATCTATAGAGTTTTCTCCCTTCCGTTCAAAATGATGAGGACCGAAAATGTTTTTGATAGGAAATATTGATTTGTCGAATGTATTTATTAATATCAAATCAAATTGAAATAACACTATACATGGTTTTTATGAAATTAAACTCCTTATGCAATATTTCTGAGATTTAAGATTCTTAATATGATTAAAAAATGTATAAGATGTATAGCATTTACTATAAAACTAAAATGTAAACATGACATCATAGCTTGATATTTACTTATGGAATTTAATTGTGTACAAGTGGTTACCTGTGCTGCGTGTCTCATATTAGAAGGTTCTGGGAGACGGAACTTGGTTGGACATCCTAGCTCTATTTCTACCTCATAACATTGGCAGTACAACTTTAACACAAACTCCAGCAGGTTACCCTTTGCGTCCTGCAACAGGAATGTAAAGTTAATTAAAAGTCTCAAAATATGTCACAGGTAACGTATGTAACAATATATAATCAGGAAAAAACATCCAAAGTATTTGTCATGATTAAATATTAAAACAAAAAATTGACAAGAGTTTCTTAGTACATGTACCTCCCTAGTACCTTTCTAGAAGTTCGCCAGGGGTAAAGTATATGTATGTTAACAGACAACAACAAAACACAGAAAGTGTTATGTTTCATAATAACATTATTTCTGTGTTGTGTTAATGTCCTGTCCACATAACTAAACATTTCTCCCGATGAACCTCTGAAGAGGTGACATTACTAGGGAGATACTATTAAGAAACTCTTGTCATTTATTTCTTTTATACATTTATTCATACATATTTACAAAATGTAGTGCCAAATATAGAATTATGGTCACATTGGTCCCCACAAGGAAGGGATATAACTCATCCTTCTTTACAGGAGGTTGAGATATCGTATGTAAAAACCATCTGGAAAAATCTTTTCATATTTTATCGTTTTATTGGATGAGGATTTTTTGTTTTAATCTAATAAATAATAATTCTGATGTTTGAAATTACCTTACCATCAGATGAAATACATTGGTTCCCTAATAACATCATACGCATCAAAACATTTCTGAGGAATATGCTTTTTTTCATTTATCATGAACAGTAAAATAATGAAAACTATCCATTCAACATCACCAATTTGGCTTACCCTGTCCTGAACTTCCTTGAGTCTGTTCATGACTTCCAGACCAAACCCGTCTGCTTGGCCGTTTTCCGAGCTGCCATTTAGATAATTACCAACAGCAAGCAGGGACTGGAGCAGATTTTTGAGAGCAGAACTGAAACGAAATGCATTGACGCTGTATTTACTACCACAAAATGTGAAATAAAAGTACATCTACATTGAATTTACGTTCATAAAAACAGTTTCAACTAAAGCTACTCACAACCATTTATTTTCACTGAATTACACGGCTATTCAAGTTTGTAAGCTCTTTGGACAGTAAATAACACATTTATAACCAACAACAAGGGATTTAAAAGTTGTTTATAGTAGGAATAAGTCGTTATGAAATTAAATTCGTCCTGAAAAAAATCTTTGCCTGGGGTAGAAGTATGCCTTCATTATAGTCAGGAGTATCCAATAATATACGATTTGAACATTTTAGCAAACTAACATTTATGTAGATAATTACCTATTAGTAACCTCCTCGCATGCTGTGTGAAGTTCTTTCAGTTGTTGTTCTGAAATAAACCGAACAATCATACCCGTATTTGGAAGACAACAGATGGAATTATAGCAAACTATAGAATATCAAAATAACAAAAGAAGAAAGCGTAAACACTGGTGTTAGGAAACAAGCAATTCTTCTACAAGTATAATTTATTATTAATTAATTGATTTATATGAGTTAGTATTTTATGTGTACATTTGATAAAACATATTCCACTTAGTATTCATCATGTAACATCTTATGATAAATATAATCAATAATTTATTTCTGTATCAATACTCTCTGGATAATGAATGTATACAAGTATTTTGATTACTCACCAGTTTCAAACAGATGCCATTGTACCCTGTATCTAAACCTGAGGAAGTCCATACGCTCCTTGCAGTGACTAACCTTGGACATCTCATAAAGCATGTACTCAGGGTAGTCCAGGGTCGCTACAACAAAGGCCAATGTCATTAATATATTGTATCAAGACCACGTCTTTACGGTAAATATCTGTCCAAAAAGGGCAGTGATTTAACGTTCAACTGTTAATATTCCAACACGCTGAATTTTCATAATAGGTCATTTTTGCACCGGAGAAGCTTTTAGTTCCATTAGGATGTAATTATCAACCGGTTTGAATTTAAATCTATTTAAGCAAAAAGCTTTGCTAATAGACCTGCTGCGTTGTAAAAGGCGCCTAAAGTTTTTCATTTTCCATGTTTCTTCTTCAATATTTGTTTCGTTTCTTTTCCTATCTATCACACATTAACAGAACCCTTAGTATCTATGTATGACCATAAATGTTTTATGGCAATACTCCTCCTACTGTATTTCAGATAATGTAGCAATTTTATTAAAAAAAATTGTTTGCATTTATGTGATATCGTATATGTGAATATTTTGATTTTTTGTTTATTATCAATATCTTCATATTTAAAAAATAAACATATTCAAAATTATTCATTATCATTATTGTTTATTACATTACATCTCATAAAGTACATTCCACAACACTCAAACATACCTTAGCGCGTACATACATTAGCAACTTCCACTACACTCAAACATACCTTAGCGCGTACATACATTAGCAACACATATTTTGCAATCGCAATTCAATAATACACACATTCTTTATATGTTTAAACATATACTGACTGTTGTCGATATTCATGTATATATTAATACACTTGTTAAGTTTTATTAGTTTTTATATTGCAGGACAGCTTGAGGTATGTATCGGATAATTCAACAAGGAGAACAGTTCATTGTTTATGTTCTACTGATGAAGTGCATTGTTAAAAATAATTTATTAATTACCTGACGTTTTCCGTCGAACGTGGAACTGAACCTTCTCTATTTCATTTCCTCCACCAATGAGTTCGAGCAGTTCTGCAAATCTGGAGATATAAATCAAATATCAATCAATAGCAAAATATTACCAAATCAGCTTGATGTTGCGACCGTTTTACAGATATTAAACATAGAATATCATCTCTCTGATAACAATATATATTTGCATCACATGCATAAAAATATTAATCGGTTTATTACCTCGGTTCAAATTAGCAACAAATAAATTTTAAGTGACAAAATCATTCATACCTGTCAGAATTAATTTGTTTCGTTTCTAGAGACGTCACAACGCTAATAACATCGTTCATAGAACATGGAAGCGACTTCATAGTGTAGACAGCTCGTCGAGACTTTTCAACATCCAGTAATGTTACAAGCTATAAGAGAAACGATAGAAAAAGCCCTTTATGCATCTTCTTCTACAATTTATATTTAGTGTTCGCTAAACATGTCAAACTGTAGATATAACATTAGTTTGTTGTAATTTATTCATATATATGGTATTTTAATTTATGTAATAAAATTGTCTTTTTGTAGTGAATATATAATTACACATATTGATTTATTCAGTTATAGTTTATTTTCAACTGACAAACATTATAATGGCTGCCGGAATGTACATAAGAGTATATCACTTCAGAATGTAACTATATTCTCGTTTATCTTTGTTAAGTATTTTTTCATTCCTTTAATAAAAAGAACATTTTCCAAAATAGCCTAATTTTGCTGCAGGTCTTCACAAGGATACAGCATTCCAAATTGCAAACTACTGACTCACCTGCTGTTTCGTCTTGCCCCTTACTCTGGCGATGTCATCATAAAGAGATTTAATATCCGCAGTCTCCGCGCTCTGGAACAACCTGTAAAATCAGGAATTACAAAAATTTACAAAAACAAGTGATTTGGTGAAAACATCTATTTGAAATTGAAATCAGCATCAATCAGAATATGTCCTTCTAATTGTAAGTCTTATATCTTAATATGCTTGTTACCTGATCATTGCTTTAATTATTAAAACCATGTCGCTCAATTTTAGTTTCCCATACATTCTGTTACTCTCTATAGTGAAAATCAAAACAGAATATATCTCGTAGTCAAGGCCAGTTAAAAAGCACAAATGGTATTGCCTATTTGAAAAACTGACCTTTCCGCTTCTTCAGCTTCCAGTTTCGGTTCGACCATTGTGTGCCAAATTGTAGAAGGGGTTCCTTCCGCTGTAACCGAGAAAGAAGATATAGTCAGACGACTGAGATTTGATAACTGGTGAGATACACCCAACGCAAGTATATTTGTTTCCGAAACGCAAAATAGAACCAATAAAAAAGGAATCATTTTGCCAAAATATTATTGAAAACTTCACAATATGATCATTATGGTTTTCTTTGCTTTTGATTTTTTTATCACATCGCCTTAAACAATATTTCACGATTTCATTTTGGTTTTCTTTCTGGCATATATGTTCTTAAACAATTTTTCTCTAAGGTTTCTAATATCTTTGAAGTTGTATATTTTTTTTACAAACGCGAGTATTTGTTCAAAACTTTACGAACATATTTCACTTGTGATGAAAATTGACAGTGTTTAATATTAATGGTTTTGATTCACAAAGGATTTAAATTATAATCAAATGTTCTTTTGCATTAAAAAGAAATAATTAGACAGTAACCACATGAAGGATGTCTCATCAAACAAAATTGAATAACATTTGCAGACAGTAGTTATTTTCTAATTATTCCATTTGCCACGAACACCAGAAGTCTTTGGACAATTTATTTGTTAAACATCAAATCAGGCTCCTCTTGACATTCTGAGACAAAACAGTCGTCAAATTTTATACGTGATATCTTAATAACAAATTATCTCACTGTATTTGGTTCATTATATATTTCACGTTAGTTTTTTGCATCTATTTATTATTTTCGCCGAGTTATCTAATTAACCACAAACGAATATTAAAAAAAATCCATTACGAAATATGTCTAACATCGACTTATGAAAATAAGTGTTTGCGATGAAAACGTAAATGGAAAATCACATATGAACTAGTTTTTTTAGAAGTCATCAATGAAAATTACATATTTCCATTATCAAGATTTTCCGTTTTCCGGTCTGATTTGACGATAATATTAAACAATAACATATTGACATCTTTAAACGACTGAATATTTCATTCTAATATGAAAAACCGATAAAACTTAATAATTAAACAGGACTATCGAATGTTTCTCCATTATCCAGTGACTAAACGACATACAAAAATATAACAAAATATTCATTACTTACATGTGTCTTTGATGATAATCCTTGTCCAGTCTAGCGGTTTCATCTTCACTTTAGGATGAATAATGGGTTTGTTGGGGTAGACTTTGTTGGTTCGGCCCGGACGTGGGGGAAGAGGAGGTGGTATTTCGGTATCGCTCCCCAGCGGTGCTGTCGCATTTCTTCTCTCCTGTTCCAATCTAGAACCTACACGTAAAAGCATACATCTCAATAAACCCTACATAAAACAAATACTCACTTTACCACATCCATTGGATAAAACACTCCCCTAAACTAAAAAGGAATCAACAACTTCGCAGTCCTTACTACTTCGACAGCGGCAGATATAAACCGAGTACAAACATAGGACTTGAGTACTTAAAACTATATGAGGTATGCTAAAAAAAAACCAGTTGAGATTTTTTTAAGGTATTTTTAATCTTCAGAAGAAATCCTGTTTCAATCATCGTACGTTTCAATGTTGACATGTGCTTGCCCGCCCGGGTCAGCGAACAATACCCAGAGATAAGGGCAACACAAACCTTACGACCCAATACCCAACACACGACAGCTTCAAGTCAACGTAAATACAACAAACTCTAGTTCTATTTCCATACGTTTAAGTCAAACTGTACCGGTGCAAATTTGATTTGTGTTTTTGTTGTTGTTGTAATATTAGTATAAGGAAGTATCAGTTTGAAACGATATATGTTCTCTAAACAGAAATTAGAACACCCTTAATGTGAAGTAAGCTGACGGTGCTCGTTGCTCGTATACTAAGCGTATAGAGCTTGTGTCAACTACCGGCTCCCACAGGCCCAGCATTGTCTGACTATGAGGGCAGCACTTAATACAGCAGATTGTAACTTCACAAAGATAAAAGGTACAAAAGAATTTGTAATATTTAAAACCTCATCATATAGAGTTACATGGATATGGAATGTGCCTATCAAAACAAAAATAATTCGAATAGTAAGCACCATTTTCTCTCCTTTGAAAAGTATATTTACTTGTGGTATTGTTACAAAATCATATATATTTAATCAATGCTACGTAAAAACACGGTTTGATACAGAATTTGAAATCGACCAAATGAAATCGGAGAACAACGCGTTCGTGTTAGTTATTAATTTCCTTAACAATTATGTTTTAACGGTCAATTGGTTTTATTGATTTTACTGGATTGTTTTACACATGTTGAAGGTAGACTCATCTAGGTCACGTTATTTGTTAACGATGGCATTGTAGATACAACGTTATGGAATGTAAGCGGAAGGTATTCGCCAGCATTAACAGTCCCTCATTACCCCGTATTGACTGGGCACTACGACAGAGTGGGCACAGCGTGGCGCTCTATTATATAGTGACAGAACGTCAATATCTACACCATACCCGGGTATCTATCCCTATCGATCAATATAATCATAATGCTTTTTGTCATATACAAAATATCAGCGGGGTCACAGGGTACATATTTAATCATTGGAATTTTCCCTCTGTATCTGGTCACCTGTGTAGGCTACTACCTGGCACAATGTCACTACAGTGAGCACGTGTATTATATTATTTAACGAGTGTGTTAATCATGCACTTATTACAAGGTCTGACTCACGCAATTAAGTCATTATTCTAATCATTTAAAATCGCCTTTGATGCTGATTGTCATATTTTATTTATTGATCTTTTAATATCATGATGCATTAAATTGTTATGCTGAATATGGAATAAGAAATGAAATGCACTCATTGAATATTTAGGTTACGTGACGTATTAATTCACTATTTAAGATATTTAATGCATTCATTTATTATTTCAATACTTTAAGTATTCAATCACTATTCAAAACAGATGTAATGCACTAATTCATTATATAAGATACATATTCATTCACTATCTTAGACATATAATGTTTCAAACTTTCACTTATATATTTGTCTTTTCACTATTAAAGATATATATTATGCATTAAATATATATTTGAGGAAAGAAATGTATTTCACTAATTAAGTATTTTCGATATCATTATGTAATGTGTTCATTACCTTTTAACGACATACTGTATTTATTCACTATTTAAAAGAAGTGATGCATTAATTCACTTTTGAGATATATGTAATATTTCATGATTTTAGATATTTACGTATTCATTCACTTTTTAATAAATGTAATTTATTAACTCACTATTTCAGATTTGTCATACATGAATTCACTATTTAAGATAAATGATATGTTGTTCGCAATTCAACAATCAGAATATAATTAATTGATATACATTTATTGACTATGAAAGAGTTGTGATATAGTAATAGTAAGACATGTGCTGTAGTCATCTTTGGCTATAACGATCAAGATATCTGCTGTAGTCATATTTGACCATTGAGATATATGCTGTAGTCATTAGTGACAATTGCATATATCTGTCTCATCTTTTACTTTCAAGATGTGTGCTATGTATTTTTTCGTTTAATTTTTAAACATGCGCTGTATTAAATACTCGAACTATGAGCTGCTGTCATTGCATATTTAAGATAATAAAAAATGCAAGTTAATAATTTATGATAACTACATACACGTCAGATCTCTAGCAACCTATTAAGTCCCTGTGACCTGGCCCCGTGAGGCATACAGACACCCGTTCTAGGTTTGTGAGGGCCACAGATTCCCAGACATCGACCCTTAACCATAGTGGCGGCGAAGTTCGAGTTCAAGAAGCAGAAATGTGTTTTTAAATGTAAAACATTCTAAGCAAAGTGACGCGTTTTTTAACAACGACATGACAAGTTAAATACCGTAAAAATTAATGCCAGCCCATTGACATTGTCACAATATCTTTATAACTATACCGGCCTGAAGCGACACTTATAAATCCCATTGTGGGTTTTTCATACCACTACAATACAGCAAGCCACGGTATTGTGTATGACGTTTGACAAATGGTAACATTTGAACCCCAAATCCACACGTGTGTTATATAATTACGCCAACACAATATCTATAGTTCTCTAAATATTTATACAAGAAAAACTATCATATTTTTTTTTCGTACACACAAAAGTATTAAAATGAATGCCGTTCAATAACAATTTCTCGTCGCTTTACAGAGACGATCTTTTCACGTATGCCCAGGGTTTTTAATACCTATGCCTTTTTTATGTTGTATGTAAATTTCGTTTGAAGATTGATGTATCGTCAAAATGGGGAAAAAAATATGGATGGGAAAGTTTAAATATTAATTTTAGTCCCTCCAGACCAGCTAAAAATTTGTAAATATCAGTAAATATTAATGCATCATTTCGTACAATGTAATGAAAACGGTAACCGTTTTTTTTAAATTAAACTGAAATACACAAAAATAAAAATAAAATAATAATTATTTATTTTTTAGTGAACCGGACATGCAATTTTCGAAAGACATAATACCATCAACAATACAGCAGCCTAAATCATCACATTCGTAATACATATTTTTTATGAATTTCATCGAAACTTTAATTAAAAAACCATCCTTTCATTAACAACTCCTGACAAACGCCCTATTTGTTTGATCGTGTTCAGACCAGTAGATACATAAGTAACATCCTTCAGTCAGTTTGGAGACCGAGTCATTCACTAGAGTGGACGAATGAACGATCAAAGGTTCTTGTCACAACGGCTAGGAACTACCTTAGGCGATGTACGAATGACTTCATAGACATAGTGTATACATTGACACATTTGTCTGAAATCTATCAAGTTAACCCAGTAATACACTGTTTACGACTTTATAAAAATCAAACAAAAGTATTATGACAATGTTTTATGGTCCTCCCATGTATCTGTTTGGAATTTAATTAAAATTCCGTGCCTAATGAAGCGCGACATGTGACGAACCAGATGTGTGTCTTGTATACGTACTCGCGCCGTGTGAATGGTTAGTTGGTTAAACAGCCAAGGAAATAATACTTCGACGATACTTTGGCACTCGATTGATAAACTTCAAACACCCTTCGGCCTTGTCTGTTCAACAAACAGGGTATACTGATCAAAAGCTTCGTCACGTACAGCAAATAAACTTAGGAAAATATAAATGTGCATATACATATAAATACATGGCTACTTCAGAGCTCAAGGTTTTTAAACTTCGCGATTCGTTTTTACGATTGTGATTGGATTATGGGATTTTCGTATCTGTCGCTGCGTGTAATTCCGAACGTTATTTAAGATGTCATCCGTTGTGTTACGGACAAAAATGCCGTCATATCTGGTTGGGTATCATTCTTCCTAATTATGACGTACATTGTATAATAATATCTATATATAACGATAGTTTTATTGTATGTTACTCAATATGATGCAACAGTTCAGTTGTAGTTGTGATATGCATAATTTGAGGTTGTTGAACTCTATGTTCTTCTGACTTTAAATTCTTATTATAAAGAAATACTTATAGCGTATGATCATAAAAGGATAGATGGGCAACCGAATCTAGACAATACCTGGACTCTAAGATATGTCAACTCGAGCCAGAAATGAATACCCCGATACCTGTATCAATTTAACCTGTTAATTAAGTAGCGAATTGCCATATTTACCTATGAAGTTAAAGAAACTAGATCTGGGCGGAAGGATCCCATAGGGAGATGATTTATTACTGGAGTTTTCCAACATTTCAGCAATTCCTCTGAGATCGTGCATCCGCTCCATCAGATCTTTGATTCGCTCCTCATAAGCAGTGAGGGTTACCGAATGATCCTCTTTCATCCGCTTCATCTCTTCAATAAGCTGTTTCTCGTTGTCAGAGTAGGAATTTTGTCCGTCAAGCCATCGTCGTGTGGGCGTTTCAGATGCCCTCGGCTGCTCTGAATTCCTCGATTGTTCGGAAACTCGAATCTGTTCGGAATGTATCGGTTGTTCTAGCACGCTCGATTGTTCCGAATTCCTTGGCGTGAGCTCCAGTTCTAATGAGTTTCCCGTTTTATCCAGGGAGGGATCCTCCTCGGGAATGACATCATGGTCTCGTGACGCCATGGGAAACGCCACACCACCCCCGAATCGCGTCCTGTCTTTGAATTTATTGTAGCGTTGAGTAACAGAATCCGTAAAGGAGTCACTAGAGGTTATATCGCCATCATAAGATTTAGAATTTAACACTTTTGGTTTTGTTTCGTTTTCTTTCGAGTCTGGAAAATCCCCTTCAAGTTGTTTTATAAGAGTTTTTAAAACTGATGATTGTTTCGGTTGGGAACTTAATTCGCCTTTTACACTTTCTACGATTGTTTCATCGTCAGACTCCACAATTTTTCCAAAATTCCTGTTATTTTTTACGTCATATGCAGGCACTGACGGAGAATATTTTGCAGAGTTCCATTGTTTCCGATATTCACTATCACTCCAGTAGAAAGTTTGGTCGGAATCCTCAAAAGCACTTATTCCTTGAACACTGGATATCTTACCTTCCCGAAATAATTTTTTAGCAAATAAAGAAGCTGAGACTCTGCTCCTAAATCGCTTTGGGTGTTTTTCCAGCAGCAAGGTAACTAGAACCGACCCTCGAAATGTCTTGCGTGCTGGACGCTCCAGCTGTCGTGTCCGTTCCCACTGGCTCATCTGAAAGACATACAACAATGATATAAAAATACTGATCCCGACATGTATGTAGATTAATGGTATTATACACGCTCCGTATTCCAGCCTCGAGATAGGACTTACTCTAAATTCCACCTAGTAAGATCAACAGCCATTAGGGTATGGTTTAAACAGGAAAATATGTTTAGGTTATTTGTGTTGAAGTCTCAAATTAGTGGTCCTTGTCGTAACAACAAAGACAGTTACCAGAGAGGTCATGTAAGTAATTGACATGGAACACGACAGGAATGTTTGTTAATGAATGAAAACGGGGATCGGTTACTGCAAATATCACCACATGCGGGTTAATTTAACTTTTAATAGATATCGTAATGGACGCAATATCATTTCAAATAATGATATATTGGAGTCAATACATTATGTTGTGACGCTCTGTCACGGTACTAAAACATATATCACACCATCGTTAATTTTAAAAGTTGTAGTGTTTAATAGTGTGAAATGCTACTAAAATATGCGGTCCATAAATGAAGCCATTCTATCACCGATGACACAGGATAATTCAATCTCCACAAAAGGAGGAACAAGGTTCTTCTGACAAGCAGTTTTCCTTTCGAATCAACTGCCTGAATTGTTATTGTATCAATTAGTCCAATTCTGATTACAAGTCAAAAAGAATATCAAATAACAACAAAATATTGCCACATAAACAGCGACATAACTATAGAATTATTTTAAGCTTCAGGAAATTTATCCCACCTGGTTTGGGTCGTACCCCTTCCTGTCTCTGTATTTAGGGACATGGTCCATGCTACAGCATCTCCAGCCCGCTATGTAGCCCCGCCAAACTCGATAAGAAGTCCTCTACACAACACACCACATACCATCCTACCACAGCGGTTGGTGCGGGCCACAAGACCTCGCTCAGTGAGGAGGACCCACTAGACACTGGTAATGCCAGGAAGAATTGGCAGTAGTTATCTTTTGTCTCTCGTTCATTGTGTGCTTACAGCCCGGTAATAGCTTATTTTATGACGATGCAGTAGAGCATTTAATCTCGACCCAGTGTGTTTAACCATGTTCTCCATGTTTTGTTAATCTTTCGATTAGCTGTATTATGTTTCTGGATCCAAAAATATGTTCAACAGTCGGACGACATTGCCCGTGGATCGATATCTACACAATTTTTACAATAGGGTGACAATAATCCGTCTTGGTTATGCACCGTTACGTGACATGGGAAAATTGTCTTTTAGCAACAAGTGGTTCAACAATATATAACCTTTGTTGACTGTCGGTAGGTGTTTGGTCTTTTGTGGTGGAATTCCATGTAGGCGGTGTAAGTGGGGCGATCACAGGCCAGTGGAGACGAGTTAATTTTAGTGTTGATCCCAACAATTATTCTTTTACTAGCCAACAGACAAGATTTTCCTACCACCAATATCCTCGTCTTGTCTAACATAGAGTATAAAAAGAGGACAATGTAACCAGCCCTTGCATAATTCCTTCCGATGACCCATCAACAAATCAGTTGATGTACAGATTTAGGGGCATACTGATTAGACATATACAAATAAAAGTGTCTTGGTAGTTGATATATACACACAGACGTAAACTGGCAGCAGCAGTATACACGGTTGTTATGTTGATTTTATGTGACGGATGACATTGTTGTTTGAACCACTGTAAGTAATGTTGACTAAATTAAAGGATTTCATTCACCAAATAAAATGAATACATACAGCTCAAGGGATTTCTATAAGCAAAGCCATGTTTTGCATACACCGAAAGTAAATCTAAACAGAGAGAATTTAGACGACTACGTTGCCCACTGCTCAGTGCTACATCTAGGCAAGAGTGGGCATGTCCTTATTAAAACCTTGACATGACAATGTACCAGCCAGCTGCTGACAGTGCTCAATTTCACCGGACAAAAAACAGTGATATGCATGGCTGATTTCGACTGAGGTTTGGCATATTGAAATATGGGTTATGAGTGGGGTGTCACCTTTTCGTATACAGACCGGCCTGACTGACCTCTGTGGTACTCGAGTCCAGAGTAAACATGGAAGGCCTAACACCTTAATGTCCTAACGACTTATCCATCCCTGACAATGGTAATGATGGCCCTGGTCACTCCTCCGGACACTCCACATTACCATAACATTGATACATGAGGACCAACAGTCACATTATACACACAATAACATTGACACACCTCATAATGTTCCTGGTCAGATCACAAGTCGACAAGTCATATTTTGGCCACCAGCTTCACCGAACAGTAGGTAATCGCTTAGACGTACATTACAATGATATGACATATGACATATAGACCCTGGTGTATGTAGTCCGACAGAATCATACATTTCAATTCCATGACCTGAACTCTATGAAAACACAGGAATGGACTTTGTCCAAAGGATATGGGTACAGTTTGCTATTGATACAATACATTTGATTAACAATATGCAATAAGTACAAATACGTTGATAAAGTTCCCTGGTTTCCATAAAAATATATATGATATCGGAATATCAGCGACAGCATGCATATATTTCAGGATCGCCCAAAAGAGTATAACTGATTTCACTGAATTTGAACATATTTATCCTTTAAAGAGTATGAATATGAATGCTGAGCTTTGTTGACTATTGCACTAGAAATCACAAAGTCTGATACAGATATACGTTTGACCTGTAAGCTGTATGAACTGTAGTCTAGCACCAAGAACTTACCGTGCAGCAGCTGTGGCACGTGGTGAACTGTGGACCAACTAAACGTCCTCACAACACCGCCCGGCCGTGTGTGTACACTGACCGGTGTATGGTAAGGGAAATTAAAGATATGTGCACACGTCAATCCATCTTTTAAATGATTAATACTGAACTTCCGTCGTGTGCAAATCGTGCACGTGTGCTCCGCTACATCAGCATCAGCCCGCGTGCGGTATTCACTGATGCGGAACAGTTGCATGGTCGTGAATGGCGGTGGTCAAGACCATGAACACTGATGCGAAAATGCATTAGCATTAGTCCATTAGGATATCCATTTAGGCGCATGGCAGATGTTTTGATGGAGGCTACAATGAATAGAACAGTCCATATACTTTCAATGTGTCGCCAGTCTACAATCATCTAACGGAACATCAACTTTCTTGATGACAAAGGGCCCAATGCAAACGCTGGACCCATTCTTAGATTCCAAACATTCATGCTGCTTTCAACGCAGACTATCAAAGAGAACATTCCATAGAGTGTCGGTCTGTGCCATTATCAATATTGATATAAAAAATCGCTAGGTCGGCATATGAAAACACCTTCCCTGTCATACGCACTTACATATGACTTAATGTGTACCTATGTAAGGGTAGGTTCCAGCCAATCATAGAACCCCTACCTCCAGCAATACACCAGTCGATGGCCCATTGTCACTCCTCTTCAAAAGCATACGTGCTTTTGCTGTGTTGGTTCAGTTTTCCTGTCTACAACTCGATTTCAATAGGTAAATAGTTTAAAAACCAGACCTGGAACTGGGAAAAGGGGTTACAAATGGGGATATATCTAGATGTGGATCGACGGTCGTCTGTATCGAGACATGTCTATGCAGGGTCGTTCGGTCAATATGTGGCTCTTATCTCGCAAACCTCACAGGACCGCAAACTGTCACAGGATATACCAAATTATTCATCTCCCTAGTTGCCGATTCAATCAAAACAGGTGTTATCATGATGCAAATAGCAGGGAAGTTATATGAATAAACTGTCGCAAAAAAACCCACATATACGCTGTGTTTATATCGCAACAGACAAACAACTGTCGGTAAAATCTTTAGTTGTATAAACTCGAGATACAAACACTCTTGAAAACTTGACAGATACTAACTACCGGGTATACCTCCTTTTTAATTTCGAACTCCGAAGCTTTTATCCGGTCTTTACAAAGACGATTCAACTTTCAAAGCATTAAATGGCGTCATCCCCGAGTTCACACGATGATTTTAAAAATTAATACGCCATGAAGCTTTAAAGTGAACAAGTATGTGTGCAAAATCAACTTTAATAAGTAACTCAGCAGGCACTAAATTGCATTTTAGACTTATACTAAGTATGTAATACACAGGTAAATTTGAATCATGATAGGCAATGACAGACGTCAGTAGCCATAGTTTACCTGCTTTCAAAACGTAATTTCATGCAAAATTCACAGCAGTGAAAGGCGTGTGAACAGCCTACTTTGTCCCACTTGGCTGTGTTACGATACGGAGTTTAGTTCTGTCATCTACCATAATCTCGTCCTTTACGTGGGCTATGATTTCTAGCCAGTCATATCTGAGGTTTGTAACATAATGTGTGGGGTATGTAACGTGACGGATTCCTACATTTGAATCACGGCCACTGTTGCGGCTTAGAGGCATTAGCCGGCGTATATAGATACTCTGTGAGAACGGTGTGATTCACAGGAACTGATTCACCGCGGATTACATTATTGCTTATTAATGACATTAATATGATCGTATTTCAATTAATAATGAATATGCATGGTATGTGGTTTTCTTTTGTTAATCGATTACCCAGTAGTATCTAAAAGCATTTTTGTCACCATGAACCCACCTTAACCCTTTAATGCAATGCAGCATTTTGGAAGTAAATGTATTTCCTTAACTCTTTATCATCAACACCTCCTCACACGATGACCTCATACTACTTATACCAGTGAAATTTCTGATGTTATTTGATCACCCAGTATTATCTATAAGCATTGTCCCTTTGTGGATCCTCTTTATCACCTGTGTGTTTCAAATGATATGCAATCTCAAGCATGGAGAGGTGTTGAGCTACCTAACGACGTAATGATTTCCCCTTCACAGGTATACGTCCAGGTTGACTTCTTGACTTAGGGTCAAGTTGGGTACCTGCCGGGCCATGAGAGCGTTATAAACCCACGAGTATCTGACACCATGTATATATCACTTTTCACACCAGTAGTAATTGCTCTCTTCACATGTAGAAATATGTTTAC